TGTCAGAAACCGACAAATTTACTAAGTATGTTGTTTTGTGTTAATATCAATACATCCATCTAGCATTCTCCATTTTAATTTATTTTTTTGCTGATAATTGCAATATGAAAACACATCGACAAGGTGACAAAACAATGAGATCCCAAGGAAGGACTTTGTCCCCACCAAGTTTTTTTTTACTTTCTTAGTTTTCTTTCCTTTCTTCTTCTTTCTTCCTTTATTTGTTTGTTCGTTTTTTCTCGTTTTTGGCGTGCCCGACATGAATTGTTTGTTGTCTTAATGTAACAGAAATGTCTAAAAAGGTTTATGCGTGAGACGAGGTTTTTGTTATAAAGTCTTGAAACGAGGAGCCATGAAGGTGTCCAAGAGTGTCTAGTGTGTTCATTTCTCATTCAGAGGAAAAAAATCTTCAACTTTAGTTTTGCTAATTAAGTGACGGAATGGTAACGTGAGGAAACTTCTCAGATGTTTAACTAACAGTAAAACTCGTAAAATAGCTCAGATATATGGGAGGTTTAAAATAAATAAGTTAAAAGCCGTTTAATTTAATAGTTGGGAGTGATGGAGAGAAATGAATAAATTCAAACATTTCTACATGAATAAAAAAAGCGAAGTATCTCAGATGTAGGCCTGATTTATACCAATAACAGCTGTTCAGTTCAATGAAAACTGTGTTTCTTGCAAATATGATGAAGATGGCTCAATTCTTAGCTCAACATCTGTTTTAGGCAAAAGTTGAGTACGCCGTATATCAGTGCAAAGACAGTTTTTAACACAGCAATTCTTTTAGGGGTTATGTATCCGTGCTTTCACTAGAATTCAAAAGAAGTGTAATCGCGCTAGTACATAGGAGACAGAGCTAGTACTTTCTTTTGAGAAGAGAAAGATTAAATATACTTTTTCCCTCGATGACATGAATAAATTCAAGAAAAATAGGAGTATTACCTGTATAAGGCCCTTTAAAATCTCCTACCCTTTTACAGTAGCTTCTTGAAATCGTGGACGGGCTGACATATACTCGAAGCGAACTCAAAAACAGAGGTAAAACAAACAAATTAAAGTTATCCATCTCAGCAGTCCTTAAAAAGCGGAATGCATGTACACCTATAATTACTGACTTTAAAAAAGACGAACACAAGCTTAATTGCCTTTTCTACGAGGTGTTTTTTAAATTAACTATCTGCAACGCAGCTGGACTTTAATTAGCTGCTTTCAAAAAACAAAACACAAATTTTGCTTTGGATACTTTTTTTATAAGAAGGATTTTTATAAACAAACTGTTTATCTTAAAGGCCTACAATTATAAGTTTAATCGATAGGTCTTATTAAAACGGCGAGTAAACATCGTTGAAAACAACACTTAACACTAACAAAAAAAGAAAACAAAAAGGAAAACACACAATTCAATTATCAAAGAAGGGAAATTGACATGTTTAGTAATCAACACCGTCCAAAAGAAAATGGCATTCAAGAAGATCATCGCTGTTGATGATCTTCTCTCACATAATTCTTCACCCCGAAGGCCTTATATATGATTTATAACTTTATAAAACATTTTATCTCGATCTTAAAACAACCCTACCACCCCGGATTATCCAGAGGTCAAGAGTAACAATAGGGGTTTGCGATTTTAATCTACTCTGTAAATTAAATGATTACTCAGACAGTTCTTTTCCTACCCTCAGTTTTGCTGTATAGATGCATGTTATACCACGGCTTTTGGAATGGACTGGACTGGAATGGAATGGATTGCTTTGTCGAGTCCCAATTGTTCGCTGTCAGTCTGACGGTAGGGATCAGTTGAAATGATTAGCTAACCATAAAAAACCCTTCCTTAACCCACCTTATATTTAAAAAGCATTTTTTTGGGACGTGTACATGTCTCCGTGGGAGAAAGACGAGTCACACAAGGAACAAGCCAGGAATGTTTAAAACTACATTAATATTAAACAGATCTGTTTCACTGTGAAAGGTTTGAACCCAGGAGTCTTTTCAAAAGGTTGAGTTTGATCGTCCGGGTGAACGTAGTCCTGAATAGGACTGTTGTTGTTGACAGTGACTGACGTTTCGACAACCTGTGCGGTAGTCATCTTCAGAGTCAAAGTGAGTTGTATCACGTCAGTTGATGGTATTATACTCTGGTTATTGATCTGATTGGTCAATTATGTCGCGATGTTATTGGTCGTCTGTCAGTTAAGCCGTGATGTTATTGGCTATGAAGACTCGTAATCAGTGATTGGTGCGTTTCGATCCGTCTATTGTCACAGTTAAACAGTCGTCTATTGTTAGTCAAATTGTCAGTTCTCCAGTTGTTCTCTCGTAGTTAGTTTTGCTTGATCTCGTCAATAAGTCGTTTGTACGGCGCTGGTAACTGTTGGCTACGATTCAGTGGCGTTTGTTCTAAGTTAGTAAACCAGCTTTCTAAAGTAAGACATTGATAGTAGTCTGTAGAATACGTTATACATGTCGCAGAGTCCCAGTCAATTTGATGTTTCGTCTTTAAATGGTGCTCAGCAATTTGATTGTTGACGTCACCATTCCTCGTCGCGCGTTTGTGTTCGGTCAGTCGCGTGCTTAGGTTTCTGCCGGTTTCACTAACGTAAGAAGCATGTTTCAGCAAGTCTCAATTCAGCCTTGCAGAGCCCACGCAGAATCATTTCAGCCCTAGCTAATTGGACTACAGTATATTGGCCCTGATTAAGGGAGCCACATTAGGGTCACATTAGACCCAAAAATAGGACTGTATTTTAATCACCGGAAGGGTACCACTTTTAGGGCTAAAACAGATCTTTCTGGTTTACACTGTATGTGAACAGTACTGCAAAAGGATCCGATAGGCCGGCACTACATCACGGTGTCCATCGGTTGCCTCTCCCTGTTTCCCCACCTTTCATCAACTCCATCCCAAGCATTTAAAAAAGGGATACAGGTGAGGTAAGTAGGGAAGGGAAAGGTTCACCATTTCACAATGAAACTTATGAGAAAGGGGCACCATTGTCTGTGAAAAATTGTATAGAAAAGTCTAAGGGAGTGAACCTCGGAGCTGAGCTTAGCCAGTATAAAACTTTATTGAGTAACCCTCTTTCCCGGCCCAAATTGGCCCTGTGCTCGTTAGTGAAGTCAAAGCATCCGCTTTCTTCTCGTTTACTGTCATTTTACTGTACAATCATCTTTTTGGGCTGAACTGAAACAGATGTGTTTTTTTGTTTAATAATATACACTTACACAACAACAACAACAGACAGCTCAGAGGAAAAAAAACTTTTATTTGGACTAATCTTGCTCCTTACTCAGGGCCGTGCTCTAGCAGAGCCCGGTGGCCCCTGGTACCTAACTTTTGCTCTCGGGTGCCTAGGAAATCTTAGTGTTTCATACAAATCATATGCTGGGCACCGTCGGTTTTACAGGTTCAGAGCGCCGGGCTTCCTTCAATTTTCCTTAGAGCACAGCCTAATGCTTACTTCAATTTACGCTTAACAATAAATTAAAGTTGAGATTAAACTGGTTGCCTGTGCCTTCCATAAAACTAGTGGAAGAAGGCAATTGAGACTGAGTAATAAAATTTATTCAAAAAGTTACTAGTGACCAAGATGATACAAAATTATACGAATGCCAGTTATACACAGTAGCCAAAATATGGAAGGAAACTAAAAAAGACTACTTCACTATAAAAGAACATGAACATGACTTATATAATGTAGGAAATAACAACGTATAAAAGTTCTTTCAGTAAAACTAACCTGTTGACAACCATAGTGAATGTAATAGCAGTGTTGAAGTACAAGCTACAAAAATTACAACCATGAAAGTATAGTAAAATGGAGTCAACAGTAAGCGCCAGGAATCCGCTTTCAGTTTGTCACTTATTGCTCTCCAACGAGCCCGCCTGAGAAAACAGCCAACATTTAACGACACCACCACTGGTTTGCCCACGAAATGACGTCTGAGAAACGAGCGCAGAAATTCCATACTGATGACGCATCACTACCCAGATCTGAGTAGTGCTTCTGATTGGTTGTGTGCGTGGGCAATCAGAGGCACTACCAAGATCTGGGTAGTGATGCGTCATCTATATGGAATTTCTGCACCCGTCTCTCTGACGTAGTTTCGCTGGGAAACTAGTGGTGGCGTCGCAAAATGTCGGCGGTTGATTTTTTCTTTTTTCAACTTTCGTTTGTAAAAAAAATATAATTTGAAAATAGCGTTACATTTGAATCTTACATTGTTTTAACTTTTTCTATTTGCCGAGTTGCGTAGGAAAAAAATTAAACTTTTAATTGTGTATTACCTCAGTATTTATAGCAGATACGAAGGAGTAACGACACCGCCCCCCTCCCCCCCGTAAGTAATTTATCCTGTTTCAAGCTGTTGCCTTTTTTAGGTTACACCTGACCCCGAGTAAGTTTTGTGTCGAATTGGACTGTGGGACTTGTTTTGGGGGACGAATCTGGAGCAAGTTTCTTGCGCAATGTCTTTATAGACCGAAAGGGACTTTACGATCCGACGACGCGATGGCATCGAAAACGTTGCATAAAAGGTGAATTTACGTTCTTCCAGTCTTTATCGCGATTATTCCTACCCATTTACTTTATCAAAAGGTGGTTATACTTGCTGAAAGTGATCACCTTCGAATTACTGACGAGAACGTCAAACAGTCTCTCCCAAAAATCACTGAGACTGGCATCGCGGGAAACTTAACCAATCAAAGTTAACATCCGGCATATTTCGACCGGCCGTCATAAGTGGAAAGCGAGAGTGACACGGGAAACATCGTCGAATCAGACCTGGCGGTATTTCAGAATTCAACAAGAAACGGTTTTATCTCCATTGCCTGGAGACAAGCCTCCTCGTAACAAAAATTGAAAGTTATCATTAATTACTTGTATAATTGCATTAGAGGACTGCAAGCCCTCGTGTTTGTGAACATTGTCTGGAAGTCTGTCTGTTCACAGACATAAAACTGCCGCCGGGATAGCCTTTGCGAATCCATGTTATGCTTGTCAGCGGCATCCACACTCTTCAACAACCATCCCTTGAAAGGACCTGATAGTTATTGCACCAGGCGATTTTTCCACAAACACACTTAGGCCTCTAAGTTTCACTGGCACACAGCACGGCTCACCAGCGCCCTGATCCAGTCCAGATGAATATAGTATCGTCCTTATTACAGCATGTCCAGTCGGGTGGACCTGGGCCGAGAAAATCAGTGGCAGTCATTTCAAGCTAATACGGTAGAACCCCGCTTTACGGACATCCGCCTAATAAGGGAGAGTTCATTGTCACGAACAGAGCGCGTAGGTCAAGAACTCGGGATCGGACAAACAAAAAGTCCTCCGGACTTTGAACTTTAGTTTGTTTTCCAGTCACAACCTACCTTCCCAGTTCACTTGGTGATCGTGTTGTCTATTCCTATTGTCTTTTAAACTGCAAAACAGTCGTTTGGTTTTTCACAAAATCGATTTTAATGAAAATCAAACGACCGTTCAGTGCAGTATAAAAGATCGTAGAGTAGACAAAACCATCACAAAGTAACACGAGAAAATGAAAGGAAATGTTTGGAGATCACCGTGGAGAATATGTATGACGATAATAGATTAATCTCAATTCTTCCAACTCCGAAAAGACATTGGATCTTACTGAGAACAAAACTGAAAACATTCCTTAGACAACAGTAATAATTATTTGTGGTGAAATAGACTAAAGCAAGAAAGAATTGACTAAAGGTATAAGGGGCGAGAGGACACTTGCACGAATGTGATAAAAAAAGGTAATAAAAAACCTTTCTTGAAAAATTGTGTCCCGCCCTAACAAACGACAGATTCAAACAAAAGCCGGATCTACTAGGAAGCGCTTGCATTAAAAATACCGTAACATGATTATAACTGCTCTCGCCTTTGGTCTGTCTGATTTACCCCGATCCTTAGAAATTGTAAAGGTGAGTTTTCATTTTTTTTTCCTGATGCTCGCTTTGCGATCGTATTGAAGGCCCTCTTCGCTCACTTCTCTCATTGAAACTCGCTAAGCTCGCTTTTAACCTGACTTAGAGGTCGACCTTGTAGCAAGTCTACCCGATCTTCAAAAACAAAGAAATACTGATTATGTGCATTAAATTTCACGAAAATGAAATCTAAAAATGGGAACTTACGCTTTTGTCCAATGGAAATGTGCATTCTCCTCCACACCGGAAGGACTCAAAGGTACGAGGAATGAGAACATCGTTCATGTTAAGATGTTTTCTGACGTGCACTTTCATGGAACGTTTAGAACAGGGACCGTCATCACGAACAATTGCACGGGGACGTCTAGATATGCGGCTTGTCATCTTCTTTGTTTCACTATAGAATCAAAGAAAAATATGCTCATTTAAGATACTATTCTTCCATTAAAACAAAAAACAAAAAAAAAAAACAGAATAGCAACATCTTGAAACATATTGCTACAACTTTTAAACGTGAACTTAACAATTGTATGTTCCTGAGTCTCATTGGATCTCTAGGGTTCGTCTGAAAGGTATGGATCAGATGCCTGTAAGGGCGTTCGCTGTGTCGCCAAGAACAGGTGATATCATCCTCGGAGCCCCTGAGGCAGCTAATCCAGACAAAATATTCACTGCATGAGGAAAACATTGTATGCAGACAAAATTTTACATATCCCAAGAACTAGACTGATCGTTTTCCCTACTGTTCCATTATTCTCTCTTGTCTAGAACTGGTTCGTTGAAACTACAGGTGCCCACCGGGAACTCTCATCTCTAGTCTTCGAAAACAGACGTTTCTCCTCGTTCGTCACCGTTAGGGGACGTTTCGTGGGGAGGAACAGAAATTCCATACTGATGACGTTAAACTTTCCGGAATCCGGTCAAAAGCGCTGATTGGTCGACGGAAAAGTTACATTGTTTTAGGTATTGTTTGCGAATGACAGACAAAAGGCCACAAAGGTCAAATGTAAACGCGAAAACTTTAACAAAACAGTCAATATTTGTGGAATATAGGCTTCTCTAGAAGAAACATTTGAGTTTTGAGCTGGAGCTCGTTCGCAGATGAACACAACATTTTAACAATCGATCAGGAGAAACGCAAAATTGAACAAATTTGTATTTGGAACCCCATGACTACCGAATTTATTACGTAAACGTTGATTTACGTCATCAGTATGGAATTTCTGCCGTTAAGACGCAGACGTTCCTCCTCGCGAAACGTCCCCAGCAGAGATGAGGGAAAATGGCTGTCTTCGTAGGCTAGAGAGAAATGGGCTGTTTTTTTCGCAGGCTAATTTCTCTCTTTCTTGTTGTAAACTCGCTTTTACTGTAGGCAACTGCGCATGCCTGTTAGTGCGGTATCTTGTTGCAGCAAGCTTCCTGTCGGGTCTCCAAGAATAGTGTTTGCCCAAATAATCATACCAAGCATTCTTATCAAGAGCTGTATCTCAAGATTTTTGTTTTTAAAGTTATCCAGATATTACCGTCGGCACGTTTATTAATTTTGACTCGGCTCGCCTTGAATTTTTTAGGATGTGGTTATTGTTTTTTTTTTTAAATTTGAGCTAGAAAATGAAATCATAACGACCCTGAAACCGCAGGTCCTTCGATTTTACCGTTGATTTTTTTCTTGCTAGTGGTAAGGGGGCATGTTTAGATATAGCAGTATTGCGTTTTCCCTGCAAAAAGACGGCTCAGCGTTGCCATTCCATACCGTCACTGCCCAGATCTGACCCTTTTTGGAAAAAGGAATTTTAGCGGAGGGTGCGCTGTTAAGCTACATGGGCACGCGAGAATTTTAAAATTACAGGAGAAGTGCTTGTCGTCCTGCCCTTTTTGAGTTCTCTTGAACCTCCTATGAAATGCGCGCACTACAACGTAATTATTGTGAAGGACGGCGCAAAGAGACTCGGTGAGCAGTAAAAACAACGAGGGGTGGTGTAGGTTCCCTCTCTCTTTCTCTTTTTCCCGCTTTCTGACTTCGCGCAGCAGTCCACCATGTATCTGAACGCTGGAAATAGGCTACAGAACCTGTGTTAATACATCAGGTTTGCTCTCTGCCGTACCCTTCGTTGTTCTTGAAACATTACTCGTAGTACGTAATCTGATTCTGACGGTGCTAATTTTAGATTAAGCAACAAATGTACTTGGAGTTTGCCAATTTTTTCCATAAAAGGTGCTAAACTGAGTAGCCACAGTTTGATAAGAATTAAAGTATTTTCGTTCCTACAAGGGCTCCCTTTTTACCTCATCAAGGATGTTATGTCTTTTATTCCTTGCACTTTTGTGTTATCAGTTTCCACAATCAGCAGCGGCCTTTTATTTCTTGGTGCTTTTACGTTCACGTCAACTAACAGAGACTGCTTCACACGCGGGACATGCGATTTCACCTTGAGGTATACACCATGATTTAGATGAGGCGAGAATATCCACCTTTTTACCAACGCACGAGCGGGAAACACGTACCACCTGGTACCACCCCCCTGGAATGCCTTGGAATAAACGGCTGTACGAGAAAGCCCGTCATACAGAACAAGTCGTCCACGCTGAGGGAGGGGTGAATCGGGAACAGTAGTTTTAATAAGTGCACGGATCTGAGCTGAAACGATCCTCTCCTCAGTTCCAATGTCGGAAGCGCTGAGATTGAAGAAGACAGTATTGAGTTTTGTAGTGGCTGTAAAAGAAAGAAACTCTATTGTAAAAATATATACATAACAAGTATTTCTTTATTTCTTAGACTCTTCATAATCCATGTCAAATCTTGACAATGGAGAATAGTAGAGCTTTTGTGGGCGTTTGTCTGGTGGAGAAATCTGACACCGCTCCGAGTTCGAGTTTTGTGAAGCTTACACTTGCACTCTGGCCTATTTGAAAGGGAACCTGTTGTAGCAGGTTATAGCTGTAATAGCCTGATAAGTCCGACATTTTTTTCATATTGACTTTTTTTCTTAGTGCATGCTTGTCTTGGTAGTTTTAGACCACTAGTTGCATTTTACAAATAGCCCTGGCACTGCTTATTTGCTCTTCTCTTGAAGATTATATTATATTATAATTACAGGTTTGGATCAGTAATATTTTATTTATTCTCGGTTTTCACATGACCGTTCACCAAAATTCAAATTTCCAAAGAAGTAGCAACTCGTCTGAGTATTTACTTTCGTGAGGTTACAGCAGCTAAACACGTTTAATTCATGGTACAAATTTTTGGTTCCAAAGAGTTCCAAGCTTTTGCATTTGCGTGCCGAGGCATGCATTTCAGTACGGCGGCCAAGAAAGCTCTCATGTAGGTTAGAAATGTTACCGAACTTTTGAGATTTTGCTATCTGAACAGTCTTTGTCTCAGAATAACCTTACTCTTCATAACATTGCTTTAATACAAAGCGATGATCCACGATCTTGTGGCAAAACTAAAAAACAGATGCTCCTGTAGGTTTCCGGCCGCCATGTTTGTGCTCCTCAAAGCTCTACACAATCAGCTTTTAAAATTTGGGTACAACACTTTTCTCGCATATGAAAAATCGCACAGACCTGATTATTGGGGGGTATTTTAGCATATTTGTCTTCTTTCATTTCCCAGACTCTACCCTGATTTTACCCTAATTAAGGGTTTTGAATTTAATTCTTGATAGGCGTAACAGTGAAAACCACCGATACATTGTTTCCCGTTGTTTATACAGTATTTGAAAGGAGAGGTTGTTACTTTTCACCTTATAACAGTTGTTGTAGCCTCTAAGTAAATTACATCGGTTTCATCCGAGGCCTATCCGAGACGCCCGAAGCAAGCGTTTTTGAGCGAGCTACCGATGCAAATCGGAAGAACTTTTGTCAATGAGTTTTGCAACCCCTACCTCATAAAAAATTCAAAACATCATTCTTAGTCATTGTTTTAACTTGAGAGATCAGATATTATGCCGGAAACGGAACCATTGTCTCTCCATGTTTTTGTCCAGGCGGGGTCAATTATTGCGACGTGCTATGGGTTTCAAGAGTATTTCTAACCCTCCACTCTGAGGACGAAACCCTTCCACATGACCATTTAAATAAAATCTTTTTTTCGGGAAGTACTTCGCATGATGCCGTTTGCTTTTCCATAGCGTGAGATTTGCCCTGAACTTTATTGCCGTGATGAGCAAGTAATAGTTTCCTTAAACAGGAAGTTCTACGGGATTGTTTGGGTTTTTTGAGATTTAGAGATCGTAAAGATGGTGACACGGGGCACGAAAACCTTTAAGGTGCTATTTTAAGAATTTTAACGTTTTTATATATATGTCTATTTCATAGAATAGAAATACATATTCTCTGTTGCAAAAACTATTAAGAAAAGAGCCAAATGTTACAAATATATGATGTAGGTAAAACGACAAGATAAAAAATAAATAGCTGAGAAATAAGGAATATTGTATTAAAAAACCATGTACAAATGGTAAAAGGACATGGCTAAGTTATAATTAAATATTAAACGATTCATAAAAGTGTGTAAAAAACTTTTGGGTGTTAATTTTCGGCCTACTACGACGCAGGTGGTAGTTAGTCTCCTTTGCTTTGGGAAGGATATGATAGACAGGGTGTCCTTCCGACTTAATTAGATATTTTGCAAGCCGGTCCCTCCACTAAGAAAAAAACATGTTAAAAAATCATGATGCCCTTAGTATTAAGTGCTCTTCAACTTGATTTTCACACAGTTATTATTAAAATACAGATGGCGGAAAGCAAAAAGCTGGCGTTCGAAACAGGGGGGCACTCACTTCCCCAAGAAGGGGTCAATTTCGATGTCTACCATTAACTAGTTTGAATGCGGACCTCATCACAGAACAGCGCTGTTTAGTCGTAGTCAAAATTACTAATTTTTTTTCTGATCTCAATTATCACTGTTAAAAAAACTCTAAATACCTAAAAATGAATCCTAAAGATAATACGTGGTGGCGCGGAACGTTTTGAGCGCGAACGAGGTGAAGGAGGGGGGTATTTGAGGGGTGGGGAGGGCGCTCATCCTACATCGTGCGAAGGTCATACTTCTATGTAAGTTTCCCAAAACTTCGTTTGCGTGGCTCATTGGTACTGGCCGGCAAACCTCTTTCAGCTGACATAATCGATTAGGTACCATACAAAGACCATTTCTGTTTCCTAGTACGGTCTTAGTGGAAACATTTAGCTGCTGTTTGGCTTTTCGAAAACAGGCCAGAGTTGTCCAACAACATATTATTTCGCTACGCGCTGACCTCATTAATGAAAACCATTAGTGAAAGCATCACGAGCCTGAATATGTACTAAACAGAACTGTTACGTTGTTCTTGCAATATTTTCGGCACCGAAAAATGGAAGAGGTGAGCTGAATCCCCACAAATTTTTGTCCCCCTCTCCTAATTCCCCCCCCCCCCCCCCCCCCCCACCCGCCCCAACCCACAAGCACCAAACTCAAACAACAACAAGCCGCACAGCAGAACAAAGCGAGGCCACATGCGATCGCAATATTATGTGGGGGGGGTAGGTAGGCGACTACACTACCGGCCCAATTTGTCCAAAAACATATTATTTCGCTACGCGCTGACCTCATTAATGAAAACCATTAGGGAAAACACCACGGGCCTGAATATTTACTAAACAGAACTGTTACGTTGTTCTTGCAAATTTTTCGGCACCGAAAAATGGAAGGGGTGAGCTGAATCCCCCCAAATTTTTGTCCCCCTCCCCTAATTCCCCCCCCCCCCCCGACCCCGGCTAGCTGCTGAACCAGAAGAAATTACATAAAGAAACGACGGAGCCGTAGGGAAGAAAAGGCGAGCATTCTTTGTATGTATACGTATCTTGGGGGAAGCTGATGCAAACTTCAATACGAGTGCTGAATTTTTTTTTTTCACATAGTGTATTTATACTAACAAAGGGTGTTCTTCCTCTTTTTAGACCACCTTAAACCCTTTAACTTATTTCGGCAAAGACAGAAAAACAAACAAGGTTCGATGCACTATAACTAAAAATATTTATTGCACTGATTTCAGCAGGCTGCCAGTGTATCCCTTCTTCTGAGCAAGTTGTGGACGTTCAACTGTACATAGCAGTTCCTAACTAGTCCCTAAGTGCTCTTCAAAAGCGCAGTGAAGGGGATGTGAGTATATCTCATTTCTAAACCAAATTAACTACATTTTAACTGGAAGGGGTAAAATTTGTTCGTTTTGCAACTTCCCACAAACCTGGTGGTTTGTTTTATGCTTAAAGCTATACGTATAACTTTGCTTAATTACCTTGTCCAATAAAACAGTGAACCACTGGAGGGTTCCTTTCTGAGTTTCCCCTAACAATTCCATTGTTAATCTTCTGATTGACTTCGTACATCTTTACGAGATATTCAGGAATGTTGTGAACGTCTGCGAGATTTAAAACGCCTCCGGCCTTGTTCACCAAAGAGAGGTTATCCGTATCGTTGCCATTTTTTAACGGAACTAGCGCTAAACTTTCCAAGCTAAAAACTGCCACCAAAATTAAGTTGTAGTAACGTACCATCTTGGAAATGGGTTTTCGTTATCTGAAGCGCGGATTTATATAACTTCACTTGTGAGTTGATTGTTTATTGCGTAGCCGAAAAAAAAACCCTCCAGGGGGAATTGTGTGCTTGTCTATAACATGTCACTCTCAATGGTTGTTTTTTTACAACAGAGATGCGTATTAAGCTGTGCTTTTAGACGTAAAGTCAGATTCTTCAAAAGATAAAAATACGTATCTTATGTTACAAGTAGCTATTAATAAAAAAGAACATTATTTACATTAAGCGCGATGTCCCCGTGTATTTACTTTTTCTGGTATCTAAGTGCTAAAATAAGACTCATAAAAGAGTCAGTTTTTAAGATGCATAACATCCATCTTTGACCGGTGACTGGGTCTTTTTCCTAAGAAGATATAAATGGAACGAAATTTCGTTTTACGTGACGTCGGCGAAACCTTCAGGGTCAGTTATTTAACCAAGGGTCTAACTTAGGCCGCGGTTTAAGAAATCACTGAACCTCCAGATCTCTTTCTTAGTGGGTTAATTTAAGAAAATGAGTGCTTTTCCAGTCTACGCTGTATGCTTTATTGAAATTGTTCAGTAAATGGTGTTTAGATGATAGCGTTGAGCGAACTGAAAATGGCTTAGAATGCGGTTTTGTTAAACAACGGCTATCAAACAGTGCTGTAGTAAACTCCGTTTAAATGACTGGACATCAATGGTTGCGATCATCATTTTCAACAGACATCAGCTATGGCTTAAGTAAAAGGGGTTATTCTGTGTTTGAATGTGAAACTTCCTGAAGACGTTTATGTAAGCTAGAGATTAAACGCGTAGGAAAATAAGTACTGAAGTTTTAAAGTGTCAGTTTTATTTCAAGGTAGTTGAAGTGAACTCGGTCGCGTACGTCAAGGGTTATTTTCATCCAAGGATTACTTTCATTGGTCATGTTTACTATGCTGATGAATGATCATAGGTATGTATTCCGACCAAAAGATAAATTAATTTTAAACCCAAGATAAGCAGGAACCTTTAACACGTGTTGCACGTCAGAATGATCGCGGGAGGGTGAGTAAAAATACAATCAACAAGTAAACACGAAAATGCATACAGAAGAGAAACAAAATCAGCAACATTAGTAATTGACTCAGGTGTATCTAGATGTGTACAGGTGTAAATATGCTTCCAACATATGGCAGCATGGACAAAAATACTAGTAACAATAACAATTAAGCGCTTGTCTGATGTAAATACCTGACTTAGTCAGAGTTGTTGAGAAGAGTTTAACAGACTGTTTACATGGAGGGAGGAGGATTCTAGTACCAGGAAGATCCTAGGAGGCGGATCATCCTGACGCCATACATTTTCCTATATTCTGTTTACATCCTAATCGGCGCTAGGATCTTCCAAGTACAGTCACATAACCTCATTATTACGGACAGTAGACTGACAGTTTACTTTGTCCCTGGGAAAGGAAAGCCCTTACTTTTTTTCTTAATTCAACCGGCTTAATACGGACATTCCAGGGGCACCCAACGAGGATATAGTTCAAAACCACTTACCATATCATTGTTGAACGTATTTTAGTATTCAGACGGTAGATATAGGCATATTTTTATCCCCTAAAAACTTTTCATCTGTTCGGATTTCCTAGCTGAAAATCTAGTGATCCGAAAATTATAGGGATAAAAACTTACCTTCTCGAAAATTTCAGCCAGGAAAAGGCTCCCGAAAATTCTAGGTGGCCTTTTTAAGGGACAAAATCCGATAAAAATGAGTAATTATACCATTTTGTAGATGTTCGAAAACCCTAGGAGAGGCAGGCAAGCAAAGCTAAGCAAGAAATTTTACAACAAATGCTCCGAAAATTCTAGATCTCAAATCGTCTTCCGAACAGATATTTTCCCGAAAATTGCCGTTGGGTGCCCCTGACATTCCGCTAATACAGACACCTTCTATGGCCCCCTCAGACGTATTAACGAAGTTTGACTGTACTAGGACCTGTATATTTACATTTTGCAAGCCCCCGCCTTAATGAAAAACGTTTAAACTTAATTTCCCCAGACAAAGCTTGATAACCGAGATAAAACAAATTCATGATCCTTCATTGCCATTATTTTGAAAAAGATCCGGAACCAAACCTCGATTTTATCATGGGAATCCGAAACTTAATCTGTTTTCTCTATATCTTTGATTGTAACCTTTACTTTTGTCAGTTGCCTGATGATTAATTCGCAAGAAGTTATGAAACTCTGAGTAGCAATGAATGTTCAAGACCACTTCAGTAATCCAGCTCCATCAGTCTTCTTATTTTTCATGTATATAATATTACGAGTTTTATTTTTCAAGTCGTTATTATGCCTTTATGGAAGGCAGCAAATTCTAAAGCATGGGGATGAATATGATAAGAAATGGAATAATATAGATAGTTTCTTCCTTTCTTGACAAGCGGGAGGAAAGTGACCGTTTCCGCTCCTTCACCAGCCGCCCGACCTGGCCGGGGACGGGTTCATCAAAGCATTTTTGGTCCTAAAAGTGATTCCTAAGATAAATAAAATCATGTCATAAAATCAACCACCAAAGGCTGCCTTAAGGCCGCACCAAACACACATATTATCCGTCTCGTTCAATTTTACAAATGCAGAGGATCAAAGTTCAGAAAAAGAAGGATAATATGTAGGAGGAGAAAAGGGCACCGCAGCCCCAACCTTTGAACAAGTCAATCTTGTTTTCTCTCGTCAAACGGGTTTTTTGAGTGTAAGCATCCATTTATTGATAAACCGATGGTCATAACTGAGTCCACTGTAACAAGCACACGGCTTTTAGGACTGGGTTTGGTATCTGGTATCTAAGTAACATCAGCGCGTGCTCACAAAAGTCTTTCTCGGGTCCGCCAATCTAGTCTGCTACACAGCCGTTTTTAGTGTCGTCACGCAACGCTACTCCCCACTAACGGCTGCTGAAAATCGACCCACATTCCTTTCCCTTTGTGTTTGTGGTCTAACGAACAAACCAATCATGTATAAGAAACTTGACAATACGTGAGCAGCAGGGCGCTCAGGGAGCGTTGCGTGATGACACTAAAAACGGCTGTGTAGATCGAACACGCAAAAGAAAGGCTCTGCAGGCAGGATGATGTCAAATTAGTAATCAGCAGGCCCGGCTGTTCAAACATTGGATAGCGCTATCCAGTGGATAAATATCTATCCCGCAGTGGATAGTGCAATCGATTTTCCTAATACTTATCCGTAGGTTCGTGATTTATCCGAGGGGTGGCGCTATCCAACGTTTGAACAACCGGGGCCAGGAGCCTACGTAATCAAGCAGTGACGACGATGTGTGCTGCATCTGCAGCGTTAAGTTATCCGTTGCCGTCTGCCGGCGTTGTTTAAGCTCCCTGAAAGCGTTTTTACGATGGTAGATAGTAACAAAACAGAACCGCAGAACCCAAAACAGAATCACAACCCCCCCCCCTCCTCCCCCCCAAAAAAGTCGCAAAACCCAAAACAGAATCACAAAACCTAAAATAGAATCGCAAAATTCAAAACAGAATCACAAAACTCAAAACAGAATCACAAAACCCTAAAACAGAATCACAAAACCCTAAAACAGAATCGTAAAACCCAAAACAAAATCACAAAGTTAACAATAGCATCGAAAAATTCAAAACAGAATCGCAAAAGTCAAAACAGAATCACAAAACCCAAAACAGAAACACAAAACTCAAAAAGGAAACTCAAAACAAAATCACAAAGTAAAAAGGGCACACGGGACAAAATATAGACGCACCCTCCTCCCCCACCATTCCTCTCTTAAACCGGAGAAGGAGAGATTGACCGGAAGAGAGAAAAAACAAAGTTTGGTGATGAGAAGGAGCCTACTGACAGTTTTGCTCCACCTAGCTTCAACTTCCACATCTTTTACTACTTTAGTAGCCTTTATTGAACCCACACTAATTTAGAACCAGGAGCCAATTTGAGGATCCTGTTCAGAAGACACATACTAAAAAGAGACAACAATTTTGACTAAAGGAAATGGGGGACTGCTTTGTGTAGTTCCGGCCAGAAAATTTCCATACCCTCCTCACGGAGGACAACAAAAATTCCGAAGAGAGTAGGCCCAAAAGAAGGCAATTTACGAGGGGGTGGGGGTGGCTTTGCAAATAAGATCGGCCAGTGATTATTTGTTCTTTTGCAGTGACTCACCGTTAATTATTTGCTAAGAAAATAATCTACAACACAAAAGTGAGTTTATTAGACCATGTATTAACATGAATACGAAATTTTTTTCTCATTTTAAAGAAACAATGACATTTTGCATTCAGCTTTTTCGACGGAAAAAATCTTTCCAGGGGGTTCTGTACAGTACCGCAAATGATCCCCAACCGCAAATGATCCCGAGACCGCAAATGATCCTCAAAATGGACCGTAAATGATCCTCGACCGCAAGTGATCCCTAAAGTCGACCGCAAATGATCCCTTGAAAACTTGAGGAATGGAATGGATTTTATGGGACTGATTACATAAAAGGACTGATTATAAAAAAGAAACCTTTTTCTCTCGCCTTTTAAAGAAAAAGGGAAGGAGGACGCTACATCTCACTCTCAGGTCAATTTATACAAGGCGAAAAAAAAAATGGAATAAATCTGAAAAGGTATAGTATTTACCGTATACTTCTTCCTTTGTCGATTGCTTCAATTTCCTTTCAAGAATGAAAAATTTAAGACAGGCAGGACGTTACACAGAAAAATTGTTTTAACGCCTAGAAGCTCAACCTTTCTATTGAGGAATACAAAGCCGGGCACCCTCTACCTAACAAGAGCTTTATTGACTTTACTGATCTTTTTGAAAGCATGAAATTAATCAGCCAGAATATTTCATTTTGATTTTTCTCTGAAGTGTTAATTTTACGTGATAAACAGCAAGACATTTGTTCGTAACTTAGGTGCCCATTACGAAACAAGACATGATTTAACATAAACACAAGTCAAAATGCCCCCGAACTTATCAATGTACACAGGTTTCGGTTTATTTCGAAATAGCAACTTTCTTACATCTCATGAACGTGTTGTGAATTGTTATATTAGCGTTTTTATGTATATTCATTTGTTGTGCTTTGCTGAAGACAGTTACCAGAAATCTAAACCTGGTAATGAGAAACGCAAAGCCAGGTAAGCGGTAGTTATCGTGTGACAAAACATCGTAAGAAACCGTCACATTCACGGACTAAAAGAAAATCGCTTATGATTATTCGGATCCAGGAGGCACTTAAGAGAAAATTAAACAACCTAAAACCCTTATTTAGCGGCAATGAAGAGCACTGCATTTCAAAAGAGGTAAAAGGAAATGCTCTTGCATCAAAGGGCAAATCATGCCGACCAGAAACAACAATAACCGCAGAAATTGCGTGTCATGACCTCTCACTATGCAATAAGCAGCAAAAATCACATGTATTTGCTCAGTCAAAACGTTTTCCTCAGAGGTATAATCTACCCGCCAGAGCCAGAAAAAAGTCATTGGAACAAGCAGCATTTTAGCATGAGGTAAAAGTCGTGTGTTGCCTACCTACTTCGTTTTTACTCTTGAATGATTTTTTTCATTTAGTATCATTTTTAGTTTCATTTTGTATTTATTTGAGAAGTAAACTTTAGCTTTTAATCTGACTTATTGTAATAATAATAAAATCGACACGATGATCCGCTAACCTGATTCCAAGTCATTCCTATTTTTCTTTCGGGATCATTTGCGGTCGACTTTGGGGATCACTTGCGGTCGAGGATCATTTGCGGTCCATTTTGGGGATCATTTGCGGTCTCGGGATCATTTGCGGTTGGGGATCATTTGCGGTACTGTACAGTTCCCAACCGGAACGGAGAATCACGGAGACTCTAGGGGAACGTATTACAACAACTTCTCCTGGATTTTCTAAAAATACATAAGTTAAAACAACTATTAAGAAAATACACCGAGAGAAAAATTAAACGATGCATGCAAAAGAAAATGTTTGCCACATTACTTTTTGATTAAATTTCTTCGTTGGAAGATGTATCAACCGGACAGGGGAAAGCGAAGAAGTGCTTAATTTTTTGAAATACATGCTGTACATTTCGTTAGCGTAGGCTGATCCGTCATGGGAAGAGCGAGGGGCGGGTTGGGTGGAGATTATTGTGAAACAAAGAAATCGGATGCAGAGGGCGCCTGCACTCTAAGTGACTTTACTCTGCAGGAAGGGGTCATGAAACTTGCGTTTTCATAATTTATTTTTGCTGGAGATAGAACTTCAACATGAGACTACTCGGTAAGTTGGGTCGTAATCTCTACGGCGAGTAGGATAGAAGAAAGATAAAATAAAGCACATTTCAGATTACATGTGTCATTACTATTTTTATATACACGGTGTGAGATTCATCATCATTATATCCAAGGTCATCAGTATCTGTAGCCCTCTGACACCGTTCGCCTCCCTTACACGATAAATTGTTTGATGGGCGGATCCCACGTTATTTACGTCATTGACTGATGAAAACGTCGAAATTTTTTATGGGAAGCATTTAATTTAACCAGTGTTTCCAGAAAAAACAAATCAAAACCTGAGGCATCTTGTCATGGAACGATAACTCATTAATAAACAGCCCGGTCCATTTAATTCATAGCGTAACGCTCGCCGTATTTCGTGAGCTGCACTTTCGTTATTTCTCCTTCGAAGATTATATTTAATGTTAATCAGGTATTTTAGTTGTCTTACGGTTGTATGAATGCCGTGGTAAAGGGACAAAAACGTAACGATGCTAGCGTACTTGTAAGTTGTAACCAATGAACCAATATGAGCGTATATGCAATCTTCCAGCGGAACAAAATTACTCACAACCGGACAGGCGGGAAGATCATTAATGAAAACAAATTGATATAATAGAAATGCGAAAACAGTGGAGAAAAAGGAAAGTGTTTTACCAAAGAAGCCATGTTTTACACTGAGCATGAGGTTTAACCTTTGTGATTACACGTGTCTGTCTTAGTAACCTGGCTAATCCACTGTTTTTTATTACTGTTTTTTTTCTGCTATCTATTTTGTATTTCCGTTTTTTGTTTTGTGTTTCCGTTTTGAGTTTTGTGATTCTGTTTTGGGTTTTGTGATTCTGTTTTGAGTTTTGTGTTTCTGTTTTGGGTTTCGTGATTCTGTTTTGAGTTTTGTGTTTCTGTATTGGGTTTTGTGATTCTGTTTCGAGTTTTGTGTTTCTGTTTTGGGTTTTGTGATTCTGTTTTGTTCAGTATCGGCCACCGTACGTTTTAATATAGTTACATGTTGCCTTTTTATACTCTGAGAAGCGTAGTACATACACTGAACAGAGACCACATCATGCGTCAGAAGATCGCTTACAAGAGGTTAACAACGATTCGAAACAATGACAACATTGGAAAATACTAAAACCGTCAGGCCATAGTAACCGAAATGTCACCCAGCTGTCCGCAAATCAGCCTCGCCTTTAATTTAAAGTTGTATCAAGTAAGAACCCTATGATTTTCCAGTTTCAATCAGTGCATGCAGTTGTTATAGACTTCAGTCTTAAACAAAATAATAAATTTTCTAAACGATTTAGCTGCGCTTGTTGTTTGCACGACCTGTTTGCACCAAATATTAAACTTTAAAATTGTGAGTCGTTGACAACAACGCACTTTATTTTAAGATTTTCATCTGTTTTGGGAGAGCACTTAATCAATGAGCAAATTGCCCCTTCGACGTACCCGGAAGTACAGGAACGCAAGATGTCAAGTTCACCCGTATGTGCGGGAAAAATTCTACCGGACGTACCAAAGGACCATGGGGAAGAGTTACTGACCGTTACTTTTTACGTCAGGTGAAGTGACGAGAAAACTACTACTAAGTGAAAGTACCGCTTGAACCCGGGGGGGCGGGGGGGGGGTTGGGTACTCCGGATTTCAAGTCACGGGAATGATCGAATGAGGGCAAAACTCGAAACACAAAAAAAATCCCTTAGGCTTCAACAGGAGTGGCTTCAAGCAAAACCCAAAAAATTCCCTGACGAATTTCCGGAGAGCCGGAAAGGATATAACACGAAAAAAACCAAAGGCAGCCAGGATACGCGGGCACTACCACGATACCACGAATCTTCAGATTGTTTTGAATATCCAGAGAAATCGCCACTTAAATCAAGCCACCCAAAAAAATACTTGCCAAATTTTCCTACCCAAAACAAAATCCCGGAATCGAAAATTTCAAACCTCCCCCAAAAATCGTTCGATCATCCCCGTCACTTGAACTCCGTAGTACCCCCCCCCCCCCCTACCCTATTGGGGGTTGAACAAACCCTGTTTAAAGGACATTTTACTTAGAAAGACTCACAAGCCAAACAACTACACAGGCAAGTGAATTTTAAAAATGTTTTACAGCCCCTTTCGTCGTTTTGAACAGCTGTTAACATCAATATGGTTACCACGATCCTGGCCCCTTTTCAAGTTCCAAAAATGTTAACGCTGAGTTGTCAAAAAAAACATCACTAAACCGATTTTGAGAAAAAACCGACCGTTTTGCAGTTTACACGTCCAGTAGTTATTGGAGCTGTTTACCAGTAGTTATTGCACCTATCGGAAAACACTCCTGTGTAGAGACCTAAAACAGTTATTTTTAGTTTTTCAAAACAGAAGTCAACGAAAACTGACACTGCGCACGTCACTGCAATGAGCATGGCACCAAAACTGTGAAAAGAGGATCTTCGGGAATCAATAAACAGGAAATTCTGACAAATGTGGTTTTATACTGTTTTTAACGCTGGAGCTGACGCTATGTAAGTTTAAATCAATTTTTTTTTTCGAGTTTTTAAGTCATCAGTAATAATATTATTACACTATGAGAAAAGTTTGTAGATTTTTGACAGGGCGTATTATAAGTTGTCCAATTTATATTGTTATAGGCAAATTTACGTTTTGGAAACACAGTTCTTTTAGGAAGTGCCTACATATAATATTTTTCATATTTGTCATTTTTGATATTCCCTCTTATACGAGTTCCTTAAAGAATAAATTATACAAATCACCACTTGATTCGACAGGTATCACCTGGTATAAAATAATCTGGTCTTTTAATAGCATCTGTTTCAACTTTACTTTTTACTTAAATGTGTTACATGATTGGATTTCTTGCAATAAACAGATAATTTTCAATATTTACAAAGTACATATATAATTTTCTGATGAATAAATATATTAACTTCTATCTTTACAAAACAAGTGAAATTCAGAGGAAAGATACATATTTTCTTGTTAACTTCACTACAATGCAGGAAATGAGGGGAAACAAGCCGCTACTGCTATATTTGATGTTTACTTTTTTCTTTTTTCACTTCGAGATTTCTTCTCTTTTCAATTTTTTTTTAACCAAACTTGAAGATCTGCTCATTTAACAGGTTTGGAGTGGTAGGGGGCTTGGTGTAAAAAATTAGTTTAAAAAATTTTCATAATGACTACAGCTGAATTGCGATTCCTCCAATCTCCCGAGTAAAAGAAGTTGATTCGAAAATTCGGGGATAAAATTACAGGGTGGAAGGGGGAAGGGATGCAAGTTGGTATTAGTCTGAATTATCGAGAGTTTTGAGAAATCGGGATTCCTCTGTGGTGTAAGAGGCAATTGTATTTTGCTTAAGCTATCTATTCCATACGAATCTCTTCGCGTTAATTAGCTTGCAATAGAGTCCATTTTTCTCTTTCCTTTGATTACTGTAAAACGTCATATGAATATGACGCAGAAACTTCTTCAATATTCGGTTTCTTCTTCCACATCCGGGTACGTCGGAGGGGCTATTTGTTCATTGGTTAAGTGCTCTTCTTCTTAGTACACACTCAGCTATGGTGTCCCGGATAAGCTGTTCGTTTAGAGCGGTGTTGAACTCGACTAAGCCACTAAGCCGATCGAAGATCTCATGAGTATATTTTAAGTTGAATGTGCTGTAACGTTTATCAGGATCATTGAAAATGGGAAAATTGCCATCTTTCTTCTCGTCTTTTGACAATCTTGGGACTCCTTTAAAAAGGGAAGAGAAAATAAACTTTAAGCAAGAAGTTCGTACTAGTTCTAAAGAACATACCCGTCTACGTTGTGGAGCTTTGTGGTATTAAGGTACTTTACATCATTTTCCTACTACATTTTGACTTAAGAATGTAAAAATGAAGGGTTCCATAGGGTTTTTATTTGATACTGTACGATCCGAGACGACTAACATTACGTGACCGATCCAAAAAAAGGGTGACCGAGGCTAGAAAACTTTGCTGTCAAGAAATTAGGCAAGATCAGGTTTAGACGCCATACATTTCTTAACGGTTAATTTTGTACAACGTTACAGAATTGTCGTAGAAAGGTTACAGTCATTTCTCGTGTTGAAGTCCAATAATAATGAAGTATTATCGTTTTTCTCTTCATTTTTTCACTTGTGATGTATCGCGACATAACGACTGCCTACTACTAGTATTCATTAGTTGCGGCTGAGGTCCTCTGATAGCCTTACTATGCTCTGAATGGTTGGCTTCCAACAGCTGTCTGTGATTGGCGCATTTGGAGAGGCTTTTTCAATACATTTACACCGGAAAGAGTAATCGTGTAAAGGTCTCACCTGGTCGAATGTAATCTCTGTAGGTCTTGTTGACCAGAACAAAGTGAAGCACTATGGGACATTCAGGGTTGGTCGGATGTTTGAATATATAACACTCTTTCCAGCCCTCTCGATCAAACTGCTCGTCCGCATCAATTGGCGGGAAAAGAAGACCATTTCTCTTGGCCCATGCTTCAGCTAATTTAATGTTCTATAAAAGAACCAAATGCGCAGTGATTTAGTACAAAATTTCAAATTAAACGTAACCTGCTAAACTTTTTGTTGGCTTCTCTTCTACTAAATAAAAGTGTTTTTATTTCACTCTAAATAAAATGCTTTAATGACTTAATAGAAGTGACGCACGAATTAACAAGATTTTTGTCGAAATCTGTTAGTTCTTATTCGAATACCCTTGTTATAAAAGAAGAGAAGCTCGTGTTGTGTTCACATTAAATAAACCAGTTTTACAGAGTTTAGTCGTTACAAACAGAGAAGTCTCAGGACGTCACGTGTTCCATTTTACCTTAAAAGGTCTTTCCTCGTCCGCCTCGCGGGCGCTGAAGTCAAATGACAAGATAACATCAACAGTTCTCTCTTTTCGGAGGAGGGGTGGGTAGGGAGAATTAAACATAAGTCCCGCGTCTATAAGCTCCATTCGCTTTCTTTTTGTATTGTCTACTTCCAAGCATTCGCTGCATTGTGGAGGAGTGCCATCTGTGGTCACTGCAAAGAAATTGAAATTTAAGTTAGTAAGTTGCTCGAGTAAATGACAGTGAATTAATAATGTATTAAGCGCGAGACTGAATCTCATACAAGCGCCAGGGAATCCTGTATTAGGCGCCAGGATTCCTGAATCAAGCGCTAGAGAATCTTTTACTAAGCGCCAGAGAATCTTGTATCAAGCGCCAGTGAATCCTGTATTAAGCGCCAGAGAATCTTGTATCAAGCGCCAGTGAATCCTGTGTTAGGCGTCAGTGAATCCTCTATATGGTAAAAAGCGCCAGTGATATGTGTTACGCACACACGGGTGTCAGTAAATCCCAAGCGTTTCCTCGCACGTTTCGTGTAAAATGAACTGTATTAAGAGGGCATCTCCTAATGAACACCAGAAAGGGGAATATAGTAAGGGCTGGATATTTTATGAAGGATCATGGATAAGGACAAATACCTTGTGGTGAACTGAGTCTCAGGCCTCGAAGAAAATTATGAACCAGCCCAGCTCTCTTCGATCGACTCTCCAGGCCTGGCAGCTTTTCCAGCACATAGTCCAGGACTTTCTTGCGAAATTCCTTTTTCTCTGATTTCTGATTTTTTGTTGCTTTACCATCCAGCTGCGTCTCTTCATCCGTTGTCATAGCAGTTGTAAGTTTCTCCATGAGAACACTTTCCACGTCTTCTTTCTTTTTCGTTTTTTGGAGCTCTATGACGTCATCGTCATCGTCAACATAATTGTCCGTTTGGTCGTTGTCTTTTGGGAGAAACTGTTTTTCTGAAAAAGAAAAGAAGGGAAAATTAATTAGAGATAACTTCTAATCGCAAAATGCCTCATAGTGGCTATTTTGAGCAGATTATGTGTAAGGAAATTCCGTTAGAAACAGTTTGGGCAATCTTTTTCTCACACTACTATTAACAGTTTGTAAATAGAGCTTGGCTCAGTTGGTTAGTAGGGAATCTTGCCAGTAGCAAGGGGCATGAATGATAGATCAATTCTGGTCCAAGGCATCAAAATGTTTTCAGGTTTACTAGAACTGTGACTTCAATGTGTTCTCTGCACTGAGTAGGCCGGCATTTCCTCATTTGAACTGGAATGATGTTTATTACTTTACCTAACAGTTGCTGTTCGTCGTCACTTTCTTTTATTGCCTTCAACTTTCCTTCTTCTTTCAAGACTCGCTGCAACAGTATAGCGTAAAAACTACCCCAGATTCCTGAATTAAAGAGTGACCAGTGGATGTCAAATTAGTTGCAAGAAAATAACTGAAAGTAAAAGGATTTTTGTAGGTTCCTTAAGAACACATTTATAACAAACCTTGAAGGTAATACAGCGGAAATTCTGGAAATTTCTCAACAAGTTTTCCGCAAAAGAATTTGCTTCCAAACAATTCTGTCTTCATGAATGTGCCATATTTGTCCATACCGATCTCATAAGGAGTAAATTCAACCCATTCTGAAGCACAATAAAGCAGAAACTGTTAAACAAACGTAATATGGTTTGATGTATATTGGTAAATATATCTCGCATTTCCTGTAAAACACAATTTACCTGCAAACCACTGTGCTGACACATCTCGCCTGGAGTTGATTGCGGTGTATATCGGCATAGGAACCGCGCCTTCACCCACTTTCTCCTGTTGTTGGCTTAACTTTACTTTGTCCTTTTTCTGTGGAACAAAACCTCACATTATTAATATTTCCTTTTAACCCCTTCAGCCCTAGACCAAGTTGTGGCAACATTATTTGTTAGTCTAGCTTTCGAATCTGTGGAAGAAACCCTCGGGTGTTGCTATGAACTGAAACTTGGTTAGAAAGTTTGAAAAGTATAGCTTATTTCATAAGTTACGAAATGAAATGCGTGCTTCTTCGCTCAATTTTCTAGTTTTGCGCACCTCTAAGAGTGAAAGGGTTAAAAGCTCATATCATGAACTGGTTTCTATCAAAGGCGGCTTTAAAGGGTTACAAAGACGGCCTCGTATAGCAGAAGGCGGTTAGCTTTACCGAGTAGTAACGTGATATCGCAATAAAAGCCTTAGAACATGCTTGTTTTTCGCGTGTTCTTTATGTTTCAGTATGCCCTATAAATACTCATGTTTCTTATGGTGGAAACTCGAGAGCTGATTGAGGTTTTACAGAAATTTCAGGGGCACCCAACGAGAGTATAGTTCAAAACCACTTAAACATAGCTTGTTAAACGTATTTTAGTATTTAAACGGTAGATATAGGCATAGTTTTATCCCCTTAAAATTTTTCATTTGTTCGGATTTCCTAGCTGAAAGTCTAGTGATCCGAAAATTATAGGGATCAAAACTTACCTTTTCGAAAGTTTTAGCCAGAAAAAAGACTCCCGAAAATTCTAGGTGACCTTTTTAGGGTAAAAATCCGTTAAAAATGGGCAATTATACCATTTTTTAGACGTTCGAAAATCCTAGGAGAGGTAAACAAGCAAGAATTTTACCAAAAAATGTTCCGAAAATTGTAGATCTCAAATCGTCTTCCGAACAGATATTTTCCGAAAATTGACGTTGGGTGCCCCTGAAATTTGAGGCAAGACTCACCGGGCCCAGTAGGCTCTCTCCAACGCAGTGGCCATAAAAGTCCGTCAGACTTACGGGCTGTCCTTTCTTCCATTTCTCAGTGATGTCCTTCACATAATGCATCACTCTCCTGGGGGTAAGAAGCCACAAAGGCCCCCACTGAAGCTGTTCCCTGATGTTCTTTTGGGTCTCCTTAGGGTCGATTTTGTCGCCGGCAGTTTGCGAGTATAATAGAGAAAGTCCCCTTAAGGAATTGAAAGAAATTCCTTTAGTTACGGTAGCATGAAAGGATGCGAAAGACCATCATATAGCAGGTACAGCAGGGTTGAGGATGTAGTATTCACTTTTTCTGTCTTAATGACATTTTGTCGCTTTACTATCCAACTGATGTGTCCCTTTTTTCATTAGTTGTTATGGAAGTTTTTACTTTCTTCATAAGCGAACTTTTCAAGTCTTCTGTTAGGTGCTGTACTTATGCGACCGAACTTTCTTGGGTTACCTGTGACCATACTTGATACCAATAGCATACACTCTTTTGCGATGAGCTTGGCTTTGCTCTCCATTTTCTCTCTATTTTTCTTATACTTTCTATCTCGGCTGGTCAGCGAACCTATGAGGTTGACGAGCGCATGCCTCTAAGAGAATCACTTACCAGGCAGAACCAGATAACCCAGTGAGGTACGTCACACAATCTAAAAAGCCCAATTCTTCCAGGGCCCTGCAGGCAGCACTGAAGCCTGTGGTAGCTCGGTAACCTCCCCCAGATCCAAGAACTGCGATCGTTGGAACCTGAGTACAACAAAACAACGCACTAATTACACCACTGCAGTTTTCACAAAACCCCTTCGCCACCACACTCCTCATTAGTGCAGTACTGATCAAAACTTTCTGGGAAAAAATATATAAGCAAGCTTGCTAAACTGATTTTTGTGAGAGTATTATATAGATCATCAACTGCAATTCTCTGGTTGTGAACTCGTTCAACGAGACTGAAGACCGAGCTACAATCTTGGCGGATCGGTAAAGACTAAATTGCTCAAATACTCCTCCTACCTCGTCCATGTTTTGAGGGCCACGTTCCCCTAGGAGCTTTTTCATCGCTTCAAAAACAGTAGCTTTTCTCTTTTCCCGAAATCCTTTCTCTTCATCGCAGAGCTCCGAGCTGTGCCGAAGGTCTGATTGCTTCTCAGGACTGAAAATTAAATATTTAAAAGTTAATATAACAAAGGAAGCAAGAAAATTTTTAATGCATTCACAAAAAAATAGTGAGAAATGTCCCAAACTTACACGTCAGAAGCTTCCAGGATGATGTCTACCTCTGAATGCTAAAACATATACAAAAAAGATTAATTTTGTAAGTAGGTAGTTTTGGGTTAAGCAACAACAACAACGTTTATTTCGCACTGTGTGTAGTACAAAATGTACCAAGGAAACTTTCCTGGATGATTATTTAGTAGTTAGGTTAGACAACGAGGTCGAGTGCTTGGTTGTTAACAGCACTTGACCAGAGCAATACGATTATTGATCGAGGGTAAATTAAGAAAATCACACGTAGTTTGAATTTTCTCAATCTTATTTTACTTATGAGTTATCAACCTTCTCCGCAGAGGGGCGTCGAGTTGTTTTACTTACCTCTCCAAATTTAAGGGTTCTGTGCTCTGGTTTATCGAGTTGCAAGTTTTTCAAAGGCAAACAAACTGCTACTCCAATTTGATCATCATCGTTGTAGTCTTCATCCCACAAAGTTAATTCTACAACAAAACAAGAAAAATGGCTCGACAAGTCTTCTCCTGATAACGATCGAAAGAACTGGAACTTTTTTCGACAGAAGGGTGTGGCAAGAAAAAAAAAACGTTTCTCATCACGTCTGATTCCAAGACTGGATTGTCCGGCGAATTTTTCTTTGTCTTTTCTTTCTTTTACGTTATTATATGTTATTATTGTATGATGGAAAGTTAGAGCTAGTAAGTGGTTATTTTAACAAACCTAAGACGTTGTTTTCTTCAGGATCAATGTGGAATACAAAAGGTTCTTCGTGCCATTCAGGATTCTTGTTGTTTGACACACATTTGGTTCTTTTAACAATTTCAGCAGATGTAGGAATCTGCATCTTCAAATATGGATCTGGGGTGTCGACTGAAAAAGCACATAAAATTGAGTTTTGAATATGTAGGAATTGGTTAACCAAGGAATGATGATATAACGTCATACATTAGTACCGTAAAAAAGAGAGGCGAATCAATAGATTTAAACAGCCTCGTTCTTAATCTATTCCAAACCTCTCGAGGGAGAATGAGCCGGCGACAACAGATGAGACGGGATACCCTGTGGGCGAGTAGAGATTTCTTTCTGGCATGGCTTTTAGCATTTGTAAAGTCGTTCTCTTTGGTGTGTCAGTCGCGTAATTGGTTTGTTTACGGCTTACTGTAGTTTGCGAAACGAAATGGAACGAAACGAAATGAAACGAACTACGCGACTGACACGCCATGCGAACGACTATGCCAGATTAAGAAATCTCTCCTCGGAGGGTAGGAACGGGATCACTGACAAGGGAGAGCCAAGGAACGCTTTTGAGTTTATAAGTTGAATGTAACGGCGGTAGAATTATGTGGAAAATTGAAATCCGGCGGTAAGAGATAGCTTTCTGTTGTCTAAACTGACTCAGCTACCAAAACTTCATCACCAAAAATCTACTAACTACCTCGAAGCGAAGTGGCTCTCATGTTGACTGTATTGACTAGTTGTAAGCCTGTTTTCAAAGAAGATGTTGGCGTTGTTTGGTTTTAAAGGAAAACAAATGTGTACCTGGTTACACAGAGTAAAAAATCAAATCTGTTCTACTTACTCCAATCGTACCACCCTTGCGTGACATTCCTGGCCCTCAAAACTTTAATTTTCAGAGCTATGCATGGTCTTGGAGTGGCCTAAGAATGAAATGAAATACTTCTCATAAATTATCATCTGATATATTTTAAGCTGCCCAAGCCAGGGTGGGATACGAAATCCTCCTACTCGCTTGTTTCAAGGATCCGATCAAAGTTTCTTCACTATAGCCATTCACTACCGTAATATCTCCCCTGAGTCTTACTTTACTCTATGTTTTCTTAATACATTTTTTGCAGCCTAAAAAGAAAAACGAACGAACACATGTACAAATATAGTGGCGTTCATTTTTGTTGAGCAATACAAAAACATATTGATATGGTCAGCATATTACAAATTGTAAAGTGATGTTGTGAAGGCATTCAATGAACAGACTTAACGTCTAAGATGACCAAAGGCATGTATCAAAGCTAATACCCGGCTTATGACAGACAAATCGGCTTTTTTTACCTGTAAAAACTGCGCAATCTCCCCTGTTTGTTGGATTGTTTTTGTCTGTGCTTCGTTTTTTAGAATCATTCTTCTTTCTGCAAGAAAAAGACCTGCTTAGTTAGAACTGCTATACGTCGTGTAATCCACCCACGTACGCCATTTCGCCCACGCAGTACGTGAGGCGACCCATGACAAGCGTTTCTGACTCATAAAATCACCGCTTGTTTGATGGCAGCTTCCTCAGTTCGATTGTTTGTTTATCTTAGATACAAAATTAACTGAAAATGGATTTTTTTGGCAGTTCTTCGAACGGAACTTCAGCCACTGCGAGATTGAAATCATTTGATGTTCGGAGGGGGAAGGCGGTTCCTAAAGGTCTTAAAATGTTAAGAAATGGTGTGTTGATTTTTCGTTGAATTCTCATACGCCTTGCGTTATTAAGACCATTTTCTTCCGGATTTTTTAAAGTAAAATTCATGATAAGGTCATTATATAACCGTTCTTATGCAAAACGATGACAATTTTTTCCTTCTCCACTTACCGTCGCAACTATCCTTTTTGTTTCCAGTGACTTATTCCAAAATGCTTAGAGTAACTGCAGCTGTTAACGTGTGCAAACAACACAGCAGAGAAAGACTAAGATCTCTGTGTACGTGTAACGGCGCCGTCTTTTATAATGCACTCTCGAAAAAATGAGCACTGAACCGTGACAGCAAATTGATCTCTTTGACGTGTTTGTACGTCATCAGAAATAGTAACCGGAAATTTCGTGATTCTTCCCACTGGATTTTAGCTAAAGCAGTTTACTTGGTAACACTTTCAAAAGGGTAGAAGACTAATCTTAGCGGAAGTACTTTTACGAAATGCATGACGAATCGAACGATGATTTGTAAACTGCCACGAAAGCAACCGAGACTGTGCTTAGCTATTTTTAAGTCTCTGAAAATGCAAATTGCTCGTTCACGCGAAACCTTCCTCCTCCGAATATTGATTACAGATGCTCGGCATTCTAGATGGAAAAAAAATATTGGGCTTCAGTACTAAAGGAAAGTTTAGCTAATCCGTGAATACAAGAAAACATCACGGAAGGTTCAATTTTTGAGAACTAATAGTTTGTGTTTTCTTCGTTATTATGTACTCAATAACGGGTTTTGCTTTATCGGTTATGGTATTTTCAAAATCCAACAAAACTGCCAAGGAAAAAAAAATATATTTCTAAGACAACCCATTCAAAGTCTCGTTCATGGGAATAAGATTCGTAGCAAAGTACTAAATGGACGCTCAAAGCCGAGATTCCGGCATTTAATACCGCAATGTAATATCCGGCAATACGAGAAGCAAGTAAATGATACCAATGTTTACTCGCATAACATTTCACCTTTGACAACTTTAAAAATACCTGTAGTTCCGAGAAACATTACAATACATGATTGTTGTACCTTTGCCAAAAAAACAGCGTCTGCTGTCAATGACGTATTTGTGAAAAAAATTTATAACTGGGTCTAGTTACTTATTTTTGCGGATGATTAAAAAGTCAAATTCCAATGCTTCTCTGTTGCTTTGAAAAAATATATCGATATCATTGTCTAGTTTTGAGTTCAGTTTTGCCACGACAGCCTCTCCTGGTTTTACCTGAGGCTACCCTGCGAGCAGAGTCTCCTTCGATCGCAGGGTAACCTGAGGCTCACTCGCCCACTTTCAATTAAAACTGAACATGCTGAAGCAATGGTGTTAAGTTCAATCAAGAGAGAATGATCGTGGTTCAATTAAAACTCTTCAAAAGAAGTTTTTTTTTTATTAACATCTTATTTTACTTATTTATTTTCGTGATTTGAGCCCCAGAACGACTTAAATCACTGTAACCGAAAACCACCGATAAAGTAAACAAATTACTATGATTCACACACAGTAGCAGGAGTACAGGTATGCTCTGACAGTTGTGTGAGATGTTTGACTCACTCTTTCTTATGCAATCGTTACGGCAGTTATGAATTAAACTCTGCCCAATTCTATTTGTGAGAAAACCGTTAGCACATCGATGAAAGGGGAGTCCCCTTTTAATACTAACTATGCCCATCATGCGGAATAAGACGTGGGCACAGGTTTTAAGCGGCATGACCGATGCGCAACTCAATAGCCGAAGCCGTAGCCGGCTCCAAAAGGAAAATTGCTCTCTTAATTTTCATTATTCTCAGTGAATTGAGACACCGCCTCCATTCCCGGTGCCCACGCAATCCTGGGAATAAATCATTCAACTGTATAACCACTGCCGGGAGTAATCGCCAATTCCAAAGAACGAATGAGAAATGACACGGAAGAAAGAACTTGATTAAACTGAGGAACCATCTGTGTGCGCTGCCAGTATGAGGACGTTTAACTAACAGGGTTTCAAGGCCGCCATGACATGCCATGATAAAGATTCATTTACCGTCTTTTTCATGTGCGAACGTAACACATGTCGCGGGCGCTGAACCGTCAAGCCGCCAATGGTTGGGTTGTGCTTTTACTCGCGACTGATTTTTGGTTGGCATCAGTTTTGTGATGCTGCCCTTAATATCAAACATGGGGTACTGGGACTAAGACAGCCTTAATAATAATAATATTTATTGATTTGTATTGCGCAAATATCAATCCAGGGAAAGAAATTTTCATCTGCGCATAACATTGACTCAACAAAATCCTAAAATCCTAAAATCCTAATACATATTCCAAAAACAATAATAAATTAGCTGGGAAACGCCTTCTGAAATAAATGAGTTTTAAGAGCCTTCTTGAAAGCATTAACTGAAGATATATTTCTAATAAAAAGGGGAAGATCGTTCCATAATTTAGGGGCAGCCCTTAGTACAAGTTTTACATAGATTGAGTACTATTACTATTCCATCTGGCATATAAAGTTATTTTACTCACGAAGTATCCCCAGTGTTTTTACGATCAGCTTTTTGTACTCAATGCCAGTAAAAGTCCAAGCACGCTTGTATAAATTCAGGGCCCAGCATCTTATAATTCACTTGCAAGATACTCGGCTAACAACAGTCAAAAGTAGTAGCATTTACCTGTTTCATTTTAATATTGTACCTATATTGAGTGACTTGAGTGATTACCTATTTACATGTTGTAATAAAGGCTGTCATCATAGTCCCAATCCTAGCCTGCGAAAACATCCGTTTCTCCGCGCTCTTCGCCGCTAAGACGTTTCGCGCGAAACGTCCCCAGCGGCGAAGAGCGTGGACTGAAACGGATGTTTTCGCAGGCTATCCCAATCCTCTCTGTGTCTTGGTTGGTGTTTGGAGAAGTTTATAGGAAGGAAGTGTAAGAGTTGTGGTTATTTCAATTTTCTATTAAATTCTGAGAAACAAAGGAACCTCGAGCCATTGGTCGCAATTTATGAAGTTTATAGCACACAGTGTTACATCGTCGTTAATTTCATCTGCGGGTAGCTTCAATACTTCAAGAGCCACCCTTTACTTCCTCGTAGCATTGTATACAAATGCCACGTTCTTCTATGAAGCTGATGCCAGCAATGAAATCATGTCAGCTCATGTAAGAGTCAAACAGAAGCCTGGCCCTTGCCTGAAATTTTGTCTGTTTTTCTCATAATATTAGTCTGGTTGATGATCAGTCACAGAAGCTCTGCCAGTTCACTAATTTAAAGCCCAATATTGAAGGATTTGAGGGACGATTTCAACAACAGATAGTTTTCCTGATTAGTTTTCGTTCCTGTAACAACCACAAGAACATGAATAATAAATTAACAAGTATGATCTGGTCATCACTAGCCTGTTCCAGGCTCCCAGATAGTGGGGAAGACGCGAAAGAAAAAGGCATTTTTGTGTTTGCGCTTTCTCAATTCAGCGGACCCGACTATCTCGGAGCCTGGAACAGGCTAGATCATCACCGGCCAGCCGACTGGAGTGCAGAGATCTTCCTTGAGCTGAAAAATCCAAACAGGCACATCAAGTCTCTGGAAGCAAAACTGTAGATAAACTTATATTAAAGCTGTTCCATTTAACATAAATCTACTCCTTTTTCATAAGCTGTTGTCTTTTGCCGTATTTTATGTGAAAGTTCGTACGCAGTGCAGGCTCCCCTCTGTGTGTAAAATCTGGTTTATTTCCAGGCAACGTGCATGGCATGAGTAATGCTGATCGAGGAAACTTCAAAAAACAGTTTTTATGTATCGGGTCTTCAGTACGTAAGGTCTTTAAACTACTGATTTATACTCAGACTTCCAATATGTGGTATATATTTGCGGAGCAATAGAGCATGTATTATCCAAATTGCGAGCTTAACCAAAACCAAAAACAGACCGGATGTTTTCAGCTGACGGAAGAGGTTGTTATTTTTTGTGAGATAAATAAAAGTTTTCTTACTATGGTTACCACAACGCGGAAGTTGTAGAAATTAAGACTGGCGTGGGCATGCTTTCGCGGAATGACTGTAACCGAGAACTTCCGCCAACGTTACTGCAACTTGACATAGCAACGGTTCTCGTTGAAACAAAAGCCGCCAAACGAGGCAAAATTGCTTTTTTGTTTTCCACTCTACGTTCAAGAATATTGGCGCACCACCTATCCTTGCTTACGCAATCCTTGGAATATTGTATAAGCACTGATCGAGACCACCAAGACCGACAGAATGATCGGAGAAATTAACACTTGACAAGCAAGAATTTTCTCAAAAAGGGAACGGTCAGCGAGTTCTACCTATTTGCATGCCATGATGGATTCATTAGTGCGAACACAGCACAGTTAGGACTGAATCCGCTGTTGGCGGCATACATCTCTGATATACTAGTTACTTAGAAGCGAATAGGAAGGATGTCTACTAACGTTGTGGTCCTTTCAATTTTTGATAAGTATTCTGAGAAACAAGGAACCACACACCATGGGTTGCTATTAAATTTATAACACAGTACAGTGCAGAAACCTGGATATAAAGACTAAAGGGCCGAAGGGACTGGCAAAATTTGTTCTCTTTAACGAGCGGTTTCGTTATGTCCGTTATGCTGAGGTTCTTTTCCATATATTTTACTATTCCTAAGGTGAAAAACAAAATCGTTCGTTATACCGAGGACTTTGTTATATAGAGGTTCGTTATATCGAGCTTCCACTTCGTCATCTTATTTCACTTGGGACTTTACTTCCTCGTAGCATTAAAAGTTCCTCTATAAAGCTGAAGCCTTGAATGAAACTATGGTAGCTCCAAAATCTTAAGATCAAACAGGAGCCTTGAGACAATAAACTCAAAAATTGTCCATTCTTCTCAGAAGTTTGGTTGGTGATTAGTTACAGAAGTATCTGCCAGTTTGTTTTGACACTAGATACTTCAAGTTTTCCTAGTTCTTCCAATCCTTTAACAACCACAAGAGGATGGTGTTTATTAATGACAACTTGTAAAGTATGGTCTTTTTCTTGGAAGACGGAGTTTAAGATAAGGAAAAAGTAAATGTGATGCCGCGAATGTAAATAGTTTACCTATTAAGTGCTTTAAAAAAATAACGTGAAAGGAACTTGCCGGTATTATCAATGAGCGCGTTTGTGCCCTTCACTTGACAGGAAAAGTCTTACGCGAGGAACAGAGATATGATAGTTTCACTACTTCAATGCCTCGCGATCTTGATTTCGCAACAGTAAATTGTGCTTAATTTATTTTGAGTCCTCCGTCCTCTCGATAGTAGTTTGATAAATCATGTATAATAATAATAATGCAAACTTTTTTTGTGGTTTTGAAAGTGCAATTGTAAATCTCGCTACGTATAGGCAATTTACAAATGCTGCTTGAGATTAAATTATTAAAAAAATAAAAGAAAATAATATTAATAATAATAATAATAATAATAATAGTAATAATAATAATAATAATAGTTATAATTATGATATAAAATACTAAAAACCTAATTATATTAAATATACTGATCAACACCGCAATGCGAGTGTCATGAAGGTAAGACGCGATCTAGCCTGTTCCAGGCGTTCAGATAGTGGGGAGCGGTGCGAAGTAAAAAGGAGTGCCAAACGCTTGGAACAGGTTAGGCGTGATCCAACTACGCAATCTCATCATTACTTAAAAAAAAAACGCGGTTTGTTGTTTTGAAATTCGAGTTGTGGTTAACCTGTTAACTGTGTTCAAGTATCCTGACGCTATCATGGTTTTTCGTCATCACCGTCAACAGCGGTTCAAGAGCCACTTCTTGAACTTCATCGACGCAAAGAACAAAATTACAGTTCATTTGTAAAACGTAACCAATGACTGTACCGAAAAGATGTACTGATAATTCGAAGTTAAACAGCAGCCACAATAACCAATTTTGGCTCCTTTTAAGAAATCGTTTGATGACTAAGCTGAAATAAAGTTCATTCTTCTCAGGAATTTTGTGATCCTACTAAAGTTTCTACTCAGTGTTCACTGATCTGCTAACGTAAAGCCTGATATTAAGGGACCATTCAGTGTTCTTCTGTTCTTGTAACAACCACAAGAGCATGACGTATATTAAAGGGGCTGTGTCACGATTATCTGGTTCATGTTTACAATGCCAATCACACGTCCTTACTCGCTAAGGAACTTGAGAAATAACTGTGAATGGCAAATTACAGCTTCGTGTCAAACCAATGTCACCCAAGCATTACGTTACAAACAACAAAAATGAAATGTTAGATTAACAAGATTTCAAAAATCACAATTGTAATCCGTCTTCACTCTTCTTCAAATTTGCTGTGTTATTCAAACCTTTGTTTCATGTTTTGAGCAGTTATTTTCATGTTTCACTCAGTAGGGTAGCGGTTTCCATTGTTTGAAAAGAATGAATTTCGTAACACAGCTCCTTTAAATCGTCTACTACCAAGCTAACGATGTTCGAGTAGGTTGATAAATTCAAAATCTAAACACGTGGGTATAGTAACTCTTGAAGCAAAAAGCTAGGAAACCGGATGTTAATTACAGTAGAACCTCTATAACTCGAACTCGGATAACTCGAATTCCCCACTAACTCGAACTAAATTTCCTTTCTCTTGAGCAAAATTTCACTGAAATTTACCCCGTTAACTCGAATTCCCCGCAAACTCGAACTGTTTTTCGTTTCCGTCAGAGTTTAACTTACCGAGGTTCTACTATTATTTTTTGTACTTTCCCGACTTCGAGAATTCACAGTTAATCGTTTCAACTTTCCGACTTTAATGAGATGCAAAGCAAAGTTACTTGAGATTTTTCTTAGGCCTTCACACACGGGGACGACTGTAAAGCAAGATTGACAAAACCGGCATGCTCCCGACAAAACCCCCATGCTACTCAGGCTAAGTGTGAATCAAACACGAACTTCATTTTATAGTTTTAAAATACGAAGCTTAGAAAGGAGGGAGGACTTGCCGTAAATTCGTCACCAAATATTTTCTATTTTTACACGTGGAAGGAGAACGAGGTTAGAAATGGGAAAGGTCACGTAAATGTAACTTGTTCACACAAGAAGCACTTGTCAATCAAATGCATCTTATAATAAAAGGAACTCGGAAAAAACTCGCTGGGTTTTATAAAAGTGTTTTTTTTTCTGTTGGCTGGACAATTCAGCCTGGATTTAGTCAGAACCAGGATAGTCTGCTACACAGCCGTTTTCAGTGTCGTCACGCAATGCTCCTCCCCACTAACGGCTGCTGAAAACCGAACTACATTCCTTTCCCATGATTAGCCAATTATAATTCAGCTCCCATTTTTGTGGGGGAGAAGCGTTGCGTGACGACACTAAAAACGGCTGTGTAGCAGACTAGAACCACGAGAGAGACGTCTGTTTCACGGACTCAGTACTCCGCAATGCTTTCGTAACAGTAAATCGGAAGTAATTTATTATGAGAACTCAGTCTTCTGTGCAATTAGCAGTATCTTGATAGCAGTTTGATAATCGTGTGTGATAACAGGTTTGAATGACCTTAAGGATATCCTGGTCAACACCACAATGGAAATATCAAAGACTAAGCGACCATTCCGTTTTCACACAAAAGCTAAAAAATCAGTCGCGGTTTGTTGTCTTGAAATCCTCCTTCTGAGCCACGGAGATCTTTCATCTGGCACCTTGGGATGGTACTGGCGAGCTTCTCACTCACTACACGGGTTTTGATGATCCAGTCATCGGTGGTGTCTGCTGAACTCCGTCTTCGACTTCGGCGCTGCAACAGACAAGTAAACTAGGGTTAGTTGCTGAAACAGAAAACGAGGGCAGAACACCAGGAAGGTGTTTTACTGTGTGATTTGAGAACGACTTTAGAAGAGAAGTCTGGCGCAAACTGTGATTGATAATGGTCTTCCATTCTACACTTGAGCTCAGCCAAGAAGCCCTCATTCTCATAAAGGTAGAACAGCTTTTGTCGGAGTCAGTGTTTAATTATAATCAAACGTACGCGTGCATTAAAAAACCTCTCTCACACTCAAGGAAGGATTAAAAAAAAACAGTTTAAGGAAAACTCAAGGATGAACATTACGAGTTGGCTAAGTGCAAAATACTATTTTCCACTGATGTCAAATGTTGTTCGATAAGCCGAGTGGCCAGCGCACACATACAGGAGGACAACAAGAGGCGAGGGAGACCCTGCAGACGAGGTTTGACGCTAACCCTGATAAAATAGTGCGACTACTTGAGGTCTTGCTGCTCTCTTCCTGTAACCGTGTGTCGAGAAAGGGTTAATAAGCCAGCCGTAGCATCAAAACGTTTTGTATAATGAATTAGGGAACAGGGTTGTGAAAACAAAGGCTACGACACTGCCCGGACTGACCACGTACCTTCCAGCCATACTCTGAATCCACTCTAGTACACTGTTAATAAGATTTACAGCCAAGTTGATAGCTATTACTGCATACTCCTGAATGACAGCTAACACATCAGGCAACTTCTCTACGATCTTCTCCCCGAGTTTCGCAAACCAGGAAGCCACAGAGGAGAAGAAATCCGGAGCAAGTTCGTAAACCTTGGAAGCTAAGGTTGTTAAAAGTTCTTGCACCTTGGCAAGGAGTAATGGCACGTTCTCTGATAAGAAATCCCAAACTATCACCAGGTATTTATGAACGACCGGCCACAATCTATTCCAGACGTCCGTGAGGTAATCGCGAACAATCCCGATATACACTGGGGCTTCGGTTTCGATCTGCGGGGAAAAGATGAAAAGGCGGGTTAAAATGCCATTTCAGACTACTAGTAACAATTTGCTTCTTCTTTTTCCTTTTTTTTTAAAGTTAATTTCATAATGATATGGGGATGTCTTCCGTTAGTCGGCGACTGAAAAAAGGGCTTCGTTCGCAACGTTACTCGTTCATTGGAACAATACAATACAATACCGAAAATTTCAAACAATTTTGCGTCAAAGTTAATAATGGCAATTGTTACTCGATTTATCAAGGGCGAAACTGGGAACGTGATAGATTTCAAAATTTTTTGATGCGCAAACCACAATGTCCTGTTTGTCAGGGAAGTTATTTTAGTTTGTCTTAGTGAGAAACATGAGCCCACGGCCTATATCACGTACGCGGAGTAAAATAATTATGTAGCATGTTATGTTGATTAGACGTCGATTCCGCGTTAAATAATCGTGACATGTGGGATTTGAAAACTATTTTCAGTTTAAAGAATCAGTACCAACTTTTACCCGCGCAACATGACACACCACTTAGTCAACATCTCACCTTTTCTAAAAGCTCTGGTATTTTTTTGTTAAGATAATTTCTAGCTGGTTTGGTTGTGTCCGCTATAAATGTTCCAGCAACTACAAGTTTCTCCCAGACAAAGGCGGCTGCTGGATCGGAGTATTCTCTAAACTTGTTGTAGTACGTAGGATAGTTTTCCTGTATCCAGCTGCAAACAAATAAGACATAATTTATCATCATTTCGAAGGAAGAATCGTAGCCTGAGTTGCAGCTGGCCCCAACATCGTCTAGACCATAGACCATTGGTACCGTCCGTCGCAGGCGTTCTATACAGCGGGTTTAGAGTGTCTGCGTCTCAGGCTAGGGGCTACGAAATGCACGGCTCTGCTAAGGCTTTTAAACTGAGTCAGTCTCCTATAGGGCACGAAGGAGCTTGGACGTGTTAATTATACGGCAACAGCAAATGAGCAAAACTATTATTACAATAAATTATAAAAAACAAAAAGTGTACAAGCTAATGGCCAATCCGCTCGAAAACGCACCCCAGTACATTTGGGGATAACTTAACTGGCTTAAAACTTATATCGGAATAAATGACAAGCAAATTCCATTCAGTCTCAATTGAAGCTGCTAACCCTGGGTTATCTTAATCCAGCTTTGAAAAACCCGGCCCCCGGGAACCCATTTCTCGAAAGTCCCGGTAACGTTTCGGGCCCGGAAAGCTGTTTTATATCTGTCGTGTTGGTATTCGATATCAAAGTTTCAATCATAAATTATTGAAAATGAAACTATTAGTTAACGAAGCAAAATTGAGCTGTTTGGGAGCTAGGAACTGTGCATTTTTTCAACAGGTTTTGAGTTTAAAATTTGCCTTCGGGCTCGAAAAGTTACCGGGCCCTTTCGAGAAAAGGGCTCCAGGTCAGATTGAAGAGATTTGTCACATATTTCTGTATATCCTTATTACGAAATACCATCAATCGAACGCATCTTTCAAAGAAACACAGCAAGTACCACTTGTAGTAGCTACCTGTTTGCCGCACTCAAACTCTTTGCTGTATGTCCATAACCTGTCAATGCCGCTTCTTCTATACCATAGTCCTTTGCAATCTGCGCTGTTTTGCTCGCTGTTAAATAAATGAAGGAAGGACAATGGTTGTTTACCATTTACACGGGTGAATCGGTCTGTTAACGGTTTGGGCAAAATTTAGGACTGGTAAACTTCGGTCTGGAATCGCGTTTATCAATTGTACAAATCAGTTAAAACCTGAAACTGGTATCAAAGATGGATTTGAAAAGAAGGAACTCGAATTTCCGTTTGGAACATTCTGTCTGGAAAGACAGGACTTTTCAGACGTTCCGTTGCTCCCGAAAATTATCCGCTGGAACGATCGAAATACTCCTGTTCCATTTACTTTCCAACATGATTTTTCTGGGAACGTTTTGTAAATGGTAAACAACCAATATTAGCCTGCGAACGGCAGACGTTTCTGCTCGCGCATCGTCACTGAGGGACGTTTCGATGAGCGAGGAGAAACGTCTGCCGTTCGCAGGCTAAACCAATATCAGGGTAGCAAAAGAGTTGACGAGTAGGGATCCCACACCAACAACAGAAAAGAAAGAAAATGAAAATTAAGGCAACCCATGATTACAAAGAAAAGATGTTAGAATAAACGGACAACAAACTAATAAAATTAAGAGTACCTTTATAGCCTTTGTTTTTATAGATGTCAACAGCAATAGCTGCTACCAACAAGAACAAAATTAACTTGAAGAGTTTTCCAAAAGAAAACAAAGATCCTTTTCTCCGAGCTTTCTTTTCGTCCACAGCCTAACAAAACAAGAACAAAACACACACAAATGTCTTACCGTTATAACATCATAGAAAAGAACACGAGAATGAGAAAAACTGGCGTTTAGTTCATCGTGACTGGGGATTTAAGAAGGCCGGGAGGCGTTTAAAAACAGGTTCGCACATATAATAAAAACAGTGTAGAGCATTAAAACTGTAATAATTTATTTAAGTGTAATTTAATAATTAAAAGGAAAAAGTGTAATCTGGTGATTTGCATGAAAAAGACACATGCACCTTTAGCAAACGCAACCAACACCGGAAGGAATAACAGTGAATTAATTAGTGGAAACCCCGATAGAATAGACAGCGAAAAGTAGTCGATATCAAAACAGACATGATTTAGGTCGTTATACTTCTTTTCTGTTGATTTTTCCCCACCATTTTCCAAATCAATTTTCCTAGTTGCACGGGAGAAGACGCTCTTCAACACATCAACTCGGAACAGGTGGAGTAATAAAACAACGCTTGGGGACATAACCCGCAAGACAAGACCATTTATTTACCTGTCCCCCGCTCCCCAACAAAACCACTTAGCACCTTTAAGTTCTCGTTAAGTCACAAACACTAATTGCCACTAATCCTTCTACGATGATATCGCATAAATAAGTCTTATTTACTGCTTGTTTTCTGTATTTTTGTGCGACACATTCACATAGGATCTGTGAAATTGTTTTACGAAGTTAAGACTGGAAGATGGTTGCGAAGCGACGACGAGTGAATTTGAACAAAAAGCTACTAGTGCAATTTTGCCACCAATTTGAGGAATATATTTATGAAATACATAAATTACTGATGTCCATAAAAAGCCCTTAACGTTCTAAAGAAAAGACCTTCAAGGATTCTCGACTCGTGAAAAAAAAAAACAAACAAACACAGGTATAAAATCTTGAAAATATATATGTGAAAAGTCAAAAATAATTTGCAATGTTAGCACACTGCTACTCACTGGGTTAACACAACAGGTGGTAACAAGTATTATACAAACTCACCGATCTGCTTTCTTCAGCCATCAAAGGGTGTTGTCGATGTAGAAATGTCGCTCACTTAAAAGTTTTGTTTTCTTACTAAAGGTTATAAAGCAAGAAAACCTTGGCACTAACGCAACTTTCTCGGAAAACCCGGCAGTGCAATGAAAGCAACCCTGTTCGCAGGCTGCTTTGGATTCTAATTAGCACGTGCTTTTCACGTTGCTTTTATTCGCCAGCCAATCATAGAAATTTATCGGATGTCAATACGTTATGATTGGCAAGTGATTCAGTGGGTTGCGGGATGATAGCTGGTATGATTGTATTATTAAAGGCGTTACCATAAACAACCTGCAGAAGTGAGTCAGTTTAATTAGACAAGTTTCCACATATCTAGCGAGGTTGGCACGTTGTTTGTGCCCCTTTTAACATGAATATCGCTTAAATTAAGTTATGCCTTACCTGACAAGCTTTCACACAGCTGCTAAGACCTATCTGATGGGAAACAAAGCATAAGAGTCCACTCAATAAACGCTATATATCAATTATGAATTATTAAACAGTCTTCACAAACACTAACAGGTAACCAAGATGACATCTCATATAACGTACACAATGTTATACATGTCTTTACTAGCGAAAAGGCTTCAACGCCTTTGTAGTAATCAGTGCCCACTACAGTTTGACTAGGATTACTATAAAAGAGCCACGCGTATGCAGGCAAAATCTGTATCGGAAAAGCGCAGTTCATTAAACTAATTTTAAAGACTTTCCTATCAACAAAATACAAAAAAAGACTCACTACAACCAATCGTCAATTAGACCAACAACAATTTCATTATTCCGACTACTTTTTGGGGTGCAAACAAACTGCTTGCTCATTATGTAGAATCCCTTACAACTATTATTAGTTGGAGCAACGTCACATTTTGGAGTCACAATCAGTTACACTGTAAAAAATTGATCGTGCAATAAGAGTAAAGAGATATAAAAACCAACCAACAAAAGCTACTATCATCGTTTGAATTTTCCGTGCTTGGAAGTATTAAAGGTAAAATTAAGAGTGTTTTGACAGGTGTTACTGCTTCTATGGTAACCTGTTATGTGAAGAAAATGACCAAAAATAGCAGAACAGGTATAGGGTTACCAACCGTTTTGCTACAAAGGTATTTCGCTACAGTGAAACCTTGGAGATTAGCTATTCGCTACTTCATAATTGACGTGTTACGATAATAATCCAGCTCAATTTTCTTTAAACGTGAAGATTGTGATACAGTAATGAACAAAAGTGATGAGATCAGGGCCGCAAAAATAATCAGCACTAGTGCTCCACCTTATCGAAGTTATCCAAAACTTTCATAACAATAACCACCCATACCTTTTCTTAAGATAGTATTGTAACAAACGACGGGAGACCACGGGGGAGGAGGGGAGGGGGGGGGGGGGAAACTGCGACCAGCCACCTAATAGAAACCTACCTTTGCTTTGTTGTTTTCCAAAAGTGAGTTGTTTTTCGTTTGAAATATTTCAACGACGTTGAAGATTTTGCTCTTGAGAACCTGCAATGTGAATTATACAAAGGAGTAACTTAACGGCACTCAAAATTCCATATTACATTTCGACTACTTCTTAGAGCGCAAAACAGTCGGTTTCTTTCCCTTGTGAATAAACTGCTGTTAGTGAATCAGCTAGATTCTCGAAGCACGCGAGCCGTCTAACGCCCCCCCAAGAGAACGTGGGGCGTCTCTTCCCAGTCTCTCTCCGTTCGCTCAAAGACCATTTCAATGTAAGGCACAGTAGAGGTTCTACTTCACTTACTGTGCTTAGGGAGTCCCAAGTGTTGACTAAATGATTCAACAGCAATCTGAAAGAAATACAAGCATACTTTTAATTTAACATCACGGTAAAGCCATCCGACAGGCATGACCTTGATGTGAAAAAGATAAATGGAATAATCCAGTAAACACTTCTACAGACAAGACTTTTTCGAGACGATTTGCACTCATTTTTTGTAAGAATGTATCAGATACATGCCCTGGCTGGATACCGGGTCCAAATTCCAATTCGACCAGGAATCAGGTAGACGAAGAACCACTTTGTGGATGTGCTACCTCTAAATCATCATCATCATCATCATCATTATTATTATTACTGTATTCTTTATCTTTTTGCCAACTTGAAATTTAAGAAGGCGACACTATACAAACAGAATTTCCCATCACTAAGAACGATATTATGTTCTCCAAAAACTCCTCTTCCACACTCCCGTGACTTCCTATAATTCTGCAGACAAAAACTAGCTCTATCATGTTTCTTTTCTCTTGCTTATTTTTATCATAGAAACTTGTTCTTTGCATGTGTTTTCACTCCAGTGAAACAACAACAATTGGCCCTTTTACAGCGCAAGGTCACAAGACTTTTCTCTTGCAAAAACTGTGGTGTACAAGTTTAGAATTTGCAATTGAGCGATGGAAAGAGGATATAATGGTTCTGCTAATTTTTAGATTATATAGTATAAAAAGCGATATTTTAAGGAATTTTGAATAAGGGAAGATACAATTGTATCATTGGAAAAAGGCGCTGGGCTCCAAGCTCTGTGGTTCAGTAACTTTCCTCATAAAAAACCTTAAACTTTTCTATGCATTCCAACTCAAATAAAATCTTAGTCTGGTGTGCAGTCACCTCATAATGGGCTTTCTGGTTCATTTTCTCATACTCTCTCTCTCTCTCTCTCTCTCCATTCCGGGCATTGTTAAAGCTACATCCTGTCATTTTTGCATAAGGAAGGTCACATGACAGCAAGCTGTAACGGGTCTTTTTCAGGTAAATGAGTTTGCCTTATAAACCATGGTTTCCTCTCACCTTTACTCTCATAATTATTTTTGCAGTTTTGATTTGTACTAAAAATGATTAGACTTCACTAGTTCATCCAATCGATACTAAGTCATCCATAATCTTTGGTGTGAAGTACTACACTTTCAGTATTTTCCACTTTCAACAAACTAATATTTTCAAGGTTTCCCTCAATCTCAAGATAACTTTAAATGTTTCAAAATAATGACTCAAGCTCAGCTGGTGATAACAGTTGAACATACCCTGATTGTGGCAAGGTTGCTGTATAGCAGGTCTCCCATTTTGAAAAGCATTCGGCATCTTTTTCTAAACACGTCACCAGGCAGCTCAAAACCTACATGACAAATGATCAAACCTAATTATTTAAAGCACTTGCTTGATCAACACAAAGTTCCATTTTTTACTTGAAAGTGTAACATGAATCCCGATTTTTCTCTGAATAAATTGCCAAACAAAACCAAAAGTGGAAGACAATTCAAGCGTATCGCCAAAGAAGAAATACTGAGTAGCATTTCTAGTGTCCAAACCTGAGCCTGATTTGTAAACATTAGATACCCCCTTTGAATTGAGAGGGTGACTAGTACAGAGGTGACGGCACCCATCTCTCACCAATGGGGCCTGGGTTCAAATCCCAGAGGTGACACCAGATGTGGGTGGAGTTTGTCGTTATTTCCGACCCTTACTTCAAAAGGTTTAACAACAGGTATTATGATTTTCCCCTCTCCTCAAAACCCAATATTTTTGAATTCCGACTTAATCCGGAATGGTAGACAAAGAATCACAGTGTGGATGTGCTACCTCTAAATTGACAGTTATCTATCTATTTATTTATTGCATGTGTTATATAGAGGAACAAACATGGAATTTTTACAGTACCTCTGTTTGATATTCCAGAGGAAGATCATTGCCAAGACGGCCAAGGAGGGGTGGAAAATACAACCTGCTTACAGAACTGGACTCAGCATGTAGTGACAGCCTCTGAAGACAGTGGATGAAAAATTAGGTCTTTTCTTACTTCATGAGTTTAGCGAAACATCACAGCCCCAAACAACTCCTTATTAAGGAGACAACAAAGCATGACATTTAAGCTTTTGAAACTTTCCCTGTTTCACAGCTTAATTGAGAAAGAAAGGAAAATTCCATGCCCTGCATTAAGTTTGGGAATTCAATTTACATTTACTTATTTCATAGTGTTGCTTGATTTCAAGGTAAAGTTTGAATGAAATGAATTGCAATTATTGTAAGCTCTTTCTGTATGACTCTTGTTTAATTAAACTTAAATCTTAAGTTGCTCTCTGAGAGAAATTAAAATCCTTTTAAAATTGTACAATTTACATGCAATAAAATTCATACATTAAAGTAATTATCACTACTAGATAAAAAGATCCTTCCTTCTGTAACATGATGTTACAGGGTACTTTTATGATTCTCACAGAGGCAATGCCCCTTTTCAAGAACTTAACAAGACCTTTTAAATGCCTGCACAAACCATGGCACTAATATCCAGTTGAAATGTAAAAATACTGTTCTTTGCTTGTACTAACTATGTAGTACCTTTAATTGAGGGTATAGTAATAACAACTTGCGCTGCAAACTACAAACAAAAGAAACAGAACAAAAAAAAATAGGAGTTCTTACAAATTATACATTGTGTGGTTCCGAATATTATCCATACCCCCCTAACGGAAGGGATTTGTCCTTAGACCTCCCCACCTCTCTGGAAATTCCAGTCAAGCTTCATACATTTACTTAAATTTTTGGGCCATAGAGACCCAGCCCCCAGGAATTTCCAATCCCTTCTGTGGGGGGAGTATGGAAATTTTCTGGAACTACATATTATGAAGAAAGGTTCTGGTCCCCCTTAAGTCCCATATGTCAGATATACATATTATTTAAAGGTTTAACCCTTCTACAAATTACACTGATGAACACCTAATACGATATGATTTTGTTTGGGCAGCACTAAACCAAGCCTTGATCGTTTTCTACTCAAGTTTTTCAGTTTTGTTGTTGTTCAAAGCGGTTAACTCAAGTCAAGAAGGAATCACACTGTAGATCAGAAAACAATCTACGCTTGCACAGTAAAAAAAAGGGCCAACAGAACATAACAATTTAAAAAGAAAACTTGATATTGCTACTCTGTATTCCTGTGGGATTGGAAGGGATAGATTCTTGCAAAACAAAAACAAAAACAGTGCATTGAACCAAAGACCTCTAAAGGAAAAATTCACATTTCAAGACAAAGAAATGTGCAATACAGTGGGCAATGACTTTCAACTGGTAGCAATTTTGTTACAAGTAGTTATGGTGAGTCCTTGGACTCATCTTGTGAAAAATCATGAGTACCAGTACAGAACCATTGGGACCCAGTTCAAAGAAACAATGAGTCCCTGGGAATTTTGTAACCACACAGCGAATCTGAAGATAGCCTCCAAAACTCTGTATTGCTGTTTACTGAGATAAAAAGATACTCCTTCTATTGTAAAGCACAGAAAAGACTAAGAAACAAGCATTGTTTAACAATAGCCACAAGAGCAGCCACAGAAATCACACACAGGATATTCTACATTGACATCTTCAGATCGATCAATCGATGCATACCACAAATAATTTATTTTGCGTCTTTGGGGATTCTTATGCTTCAGGGACGCAGAATGCAGGATGCAGGATGCAGGGTAACAAAATTACTGGACTGGAATACAAATTGTGTGAAGAACGTGAGAAAAAAGGAGTTAAATTTTCTGTTAACATTAATTTTTATAAACAACTCTATCTTTCAGTTTTGTCTCTCCAGATTTAAGCTTTCTCAAGCTTTTTTTCTCTCCTACCTTGGATTACCAGCAAGGGGTGATGATGGAGAAAATGCCAGCTCCATTATAGCAAAAAACTCCTTGGCTTCCATAACTGTCTCTTGAGTACTTGTTGATTTGCAAGTACTGTAATGAGAATAAAAAAACACGGCTCTCACTATGATTTCGAGTTTCCAGGCATACGTAATTTGTAGGAGGGGAACTAAACAGCTTGGAGGTTCTTCTGGTTCTATTTTCCCTTTGTTTCCCATGAAAATATCTAGGGATCATGCATATAATAGCTGGGAAAAACCCTGGCCCATGGCCCTCAATGACAACCATAAACAAGTAAATTAGATTTCTTTTGGCCTTTCACAAGGATAATCAGGGAGAGTGCTTATTTGGGGGTAGCAGTTATTACCTTGGTTATTAACGGTACTAACTTTTATTTCTGTAATGAACAGCAATGGCACCTTCTAAACTCAACTGGAAATTTAGATAGATTTCCATTGGTCAGCCACTTCAATATAATAATCTCGCTTAACGGGCAATTACAAGAAAACTAATGAATGCACTAAATGTAGGATTCACTGCCACTGGTTACATATGTTATTGCTTTGGCCATCCCTCTTACTGCAATGACCATCATGGCAAAAACGAGCAGTTGGGGGAATAAATGATTTTAGGGTTAATTGTCAGTTACCACCTCTACTTCGCTCGGAAGGGTCCAACATAGCTGTTTAGGCCAGTTGTTTAGAGGTTAGGTACTGGTCCAGATAAGAAGGAAAAAAACAAAGGCAATGAACACGATGGATAATTCATAAAGGTGGCAACTTTACCATTGTCTCTACTACACTTTTGATTGGTTTGAACATCAAATTTTAAGAAATCTTCACAAAGCAGCATATATATCATCCCTTGTTTTCCACCAACTTCCTTACAACAAAATCTCATCTGAGTTTAAGTAACACAGAAATCCTATATGAGGAACATCTAAAATTGTAAACTTTTCTTGGCTTTTGTTTACCACTCTTATGATTGGTTGAAATCTTTTAGGGTAATACAGGAAAACACCCTTCAAAAATCGAGTTTACATATGTACATAAACATTTCGTAAACAGCCTTTATGTAGGATTATGCATTCTCTGTGTGAAACTGAAAACATTCCTATGTGAGGAAAGTGTATTGTGCCACAACAATTTGCTTCCCATCTTGACCGGATCATTACTTAAACTGTAAATAGAGAGGCTGAGCATTTTACCTTAAAAGATTCTCCAAGTAAGAAATGGAATACTTTGTCAGCTGCTTGACGTTTAAGTGAGGCATCATAACTTCAATCCAAACTGAAATTTAAATGTAAACTTGTCAAACTTGTCCTTTTTATTAAGAGATAGGAGGTAACTTTTAATTAAATGCTGTCATTCACTAAGAATTAAAACAGAACTTTGATCATCATATATTCGGTTATAGTTATCTGTGTTCAGTAAAAGCAAACCTCTTAATCCAGGTGCAAGACTCTTCTCTGGCAGCTGTCCTGCACACCACATCAATGCCAATGCCTCACGTGTGCGAGTCTTACGCTTTTCAAGCATATCTTGTACCTACAGAGTATCATGCAAATGTACATACATAAGACACATAACGCAACAACCTATTTTTCGCAAAAAATTTTTATAGTACTTAACAAGTTGTTTTCGAAAGCGTTTCGAATGTATACACAAGAGATTTGCGTGCATCACCCATGACACACCCTTCAATAAAATTAAAATGAAAAAATAAAATGTCACCAACAAACTAGTTTAGAAGATACTACTTTTGAGAAAACTAAGTATTGGATGCTTTTTTTCAGAGAACTGTGTCATTGCATTGGTAACAGCTGATGCTGACACCTGTAATACCATAAAACAATATCATTATTGAATTCCACTTTTGCATCATCTGAAGAATTATGGAGATCTTGGAGGATGTTATCCTCCAAGGCCAACACCCTCCTTGATCTCCATAATTCTTCAGATGATACTCAGCCTCATCTAAAAATTGTTAATTATGTTAATAATGGTAATCGAACTGAGGGGAGTGCAATTTGGTCTGAAATCATGTGCATGATTTTAAAATCAGAGTTTGAATAAAAATCACAAGTAAGATTTCCTGTCAACCAAAATTACATGAAGCAATTAAAGTTCAATTTAATTACTATATTATTAAAACAGTTTTGAAATCACAGAATTATTGATCTAGTTGCTGATTTGTTGAAAAGTAGAAACAAAGAGGCTTTTACAGATCTTACTTTGTATTCAAAACAGAAATTTAGAACAGAAATGATGCAATTTACAACAGACGTGATTTAGCACAAAAAAAAAACAGTGAGATACCTAAATAATTCACAATGCTGAGAGCCAATCAGATTGCAGGGATCACTGGTTATTTTAAAATGGGTATAATAAAAGGCATCATCACCAGCACAAACTTTTAGTGTATGGTTTTAGGATACCCCCAGATCAGCCCGGTGGAGGATCACTGGAAATTCTAAGGGGAATGAGGACAGTATGAACCTACATGTACACTGGAATGTCCAGGGCTGTGGAAGGGTCAAACCGCTAAAACACCCCATGACACCTCTTAATCAATAAGTATTATTTTGTATGATAAATCCGAATACGTTTTATCGGCATTTTTTTTAGGATGTCATGTATATTTTTGTAAATTTTATTCTTTGTAAATATATTTTTTTTCATATTAATTAGTTAGAGCCGATAGTATTTTAATTTAGTGTCGCCTGTTAGTAGGCCTTACATGGCCAGCTAGAAGACCTGACACTGAAATAAAGTTTATCATCACCATCATCATCATGGTGGAATACGGATACATTTTGGGGGCAAAACAATACCGATTATTGACAGTGGGTAACTCCTTCAACCCACCTTTAATGGCTCTTGGCATATTTGTTCAAAATAAAAGGATCTTTAAGAAATACATGTCAAGTCTTGACTAAGAAGTTGTTTGTACAATTTTTATCAAATTACCTCCTTCAAGCAATCCAAAGTGACCTGTGGATACTGCTGTACAATAAACTGTAACATTATCTGGTCCCCGTAGGCAGATGATCCTATAAAAGGAATGGTCAACAAGTGAGAACTACATACACCTGTAGACATCTGACAACAAGTGGTTATACATCAGAAGCCAGTAGCCAGTACTAAATAGAGATGGGGGTGTAATCTGCCTATGTTTTTTTACGAACTTATTTTCTAGTGTGACTGAATACTCAAATCACTGTGTGATGCAGTCAAAAGCTTCAGAGCTAAAATTTTTCAGACCTTAAGATTCAAGTTATCATGAGAGTATTCAATTCCAAGGTCAAAAAAGGAAGTTCATAAGTCTGTATATTTGTAAAGAAATTATTAGTAGAGTTATTATTATATAAACATATTTTGGACAGTCACCAGAAACCATAATTATCCTGTCCAGCTCCATGACCTTTTAGTGTTCAAGCTACTTGTATATAAGGAATTGCCATTCCATATTAATGCCAGATAAAATACACTTATTACCAACAGCAATTCATTTATATCTCGGGGCCAGGTTGTTCAAGGCAGGGTTAAGACAACCCAGGGTTAGCGGGAAATTTGAATTCAGATGTGAAAGTTTAACAAGCAAATTTAGCCCAGGAGGAAAAAAAAGTACAGTATACAACACTGTTACGCCCATGCAAAATCAATTAGACCTAGATCCTGTAAATATCAGGTTATCAAAATTAATGAAATGCTAATAATTTCTTAAGCATTTATTTATTTCAAACACAGAATAAAAAAGTAATGATTTTATTTGCAAGTCACCCATACCTTTACTCAACTCCTGGACCATGTTTTCCACTGAGCGTTGATAGACAATTTTTAAGGTTGGTTCTGGACACTTTTTCAGCAAGTCAAGGAAAAATGTCTTTAAATGAACTGGGAACAAGCAGGTGGGGTAGTCTAAAAAAAAAAAGTGAGAACATGTCAACTGTGCATATTTCTAGGCAAGGTCCATCATTTATACTCATTAAAGGGGCTGTTTCACGGTTCTCTAGTTCATTGGGTTAATTTGCCTTTTTTTTCGCTAAGGAACTTTACTTTCGGGAAGAATTTATTGGTAAATGACAAAATCATAGTTTTGTATCAAACAAATCTCTCTCTCAAAGCACTACATCAATCGTAACAAACAACAAAAATATACTTTGAAAAACTGTTAAGCTGACAAGTTTTCAAAAACTGCAATTACAGCCTGTTTAAATTTTCTTCAAGTTTGTCCATTCTTTCCTTCTTTTGTATTTACTGTGTTATTTATATCTTCTTTTAACATTTTGAGTGGTTACTTTTATGTTTTACTCAATTTGGTGGCAGCTCTCACTGTTTAAATTTTGTTGCATAAAATATTTATTTTGTGGTACAGCTCCTTTAAGACTGTAATCTGCAATGTAAAATCACTGATCGCAGTGAAGGAGCATCACCTCTTCCAGTGAGGGAGGGAGCTAAATTTTCCAAAAAAGAGGGCTGGAAGTTCCTTCCTCTTTGGACAAATGATGTTCATCAAGCATTGCAGGACTGTCGACACTAAGATTTCAAAGTTTCTGGATTATGTAATGAGTAAATGGGGAATTCAATGGCTAGGACTATCTTTTGCTCCTATTTGCTTTCGTTTCCTGTGAAAGTAGCCAGGGATCATGCTCATTCCATAGTAGTTAGGGTTGAAATACCTGGCCCCAGGCCCTTAGTAACTCCCCTGCATATTGCATCATTAATACCCCTTTCCTTGAGACAACTTCATTGAAGCTGGAGTATACAAAATTTTGCAAAATTATCAGCAAGTTTGAAAGGAGGACGGAGAAATCTCTTGAATTTGAACAGCATTTTTTCTCTGAGGTTAATTATTTGAGTAAAAAAAATGGTCAATGTGTTTGAGTGCCCATCCATAATACAACAAGCCATAGCTACAGTAATGTGTATTTCCCAGTAAGACTACCTTGTGGTTTGCCTTCAAATACTGGGTCCTTCTGTGGAACATTCTTCAGCTTGTGTTGAAGATTTGCACTAATATCAGTTAACCAAATCTACAAGAAAAAAGGTTTGCAAAATTTTAGAATAGAATATCAAAAAGGTATCTATAAAACACAACAGAAGTTGTAGAAAAAAATTGAACCACCACCAACATAAAGAGCATCAATATGACAAGTTTCTCTATAATTGTAGGTAAATCACTGTAAAATAATGTCTTTACTAAACAGCCTCCTCTACTGGACATTGCATTCATGGTTGTATTTTTCTTTACTAACTCTGCTGCTTATTGATGTTGTGGACTGTTATGTCAAGATACGTCCTCTCTATTAGCTATGGTATAAATTTACTTCTTGTATTTAATTGTTACTATAATTTTATAACCGTTACAATATTTAATTTTTTAAATTGTCTTTACCGTAAACGTTATTTTAGATTACGATGTAATAAAAAATTAGTCCTCAGTCAAGTAAGATATAGACATTGAATCACAAAAGTATTCTTGTTCTCTCTCTCCATTACTCAACTTTGTAAACTTGTTTGTTGTCTATTTTTTATTATAGAAGATGACCCCACCTAGAAAAGGCTAAGCTACCAGTAGGCCACAACAAATCTGTAAAGTATATTTGTCAAAAAGTAATAAAAAAATGTGTGTACGTATAAATGTGTGTCTGTTCCCCAAAATTAAATTTCTACCACATCTGATGCTGATTTCAGGTAACCTTAGTGGCCAGTTGCCCCCTCCTGAGGGTGGTCAATATTAATTTTAGATGTTTGACTGTATGTCTGCATTTTTCTAGCATTTTCAAATTATTAAGTCTAGTTGTGTTAACAAAAATATCTTCCATGGAGAGGAGTAGTGTGACGTCATGTTACCATAGTGGCAAAATTTCTGGATGACAACAATAGGGAGTTTTTGCAACAGCAATGGCGAACAGCAAAAAAAACAATAGGTTAAGATTGGGAAAAAACATCTTTGCTCGTGCATCACGCTTTTTTGTACATTTCTTAGCCATTTATTGCACGACCCTGACATGAAACTTCCTAATTTCACGTGCCCGCTTTATGGAGTAGGTGAGCACAACACAAAAATTTTGTTTTTCTTTTTCAAACCTTACATACAGTCCTTTTGGATTTAGCCCAGAAAATTTCGTAAACATTTGACAGATTAAATGAAATTAAATAAGATCGATGAGGTCTGAAACAGTGCGAATCCACATTTTAAGTGACGGTTAGGTTTGTTGTCATCCAAAAATTTTGCTACCATGGCATTGGACGTAACAACTTCTCCTCTCCATGGGGCTCTTCAAGAAAATATACAAAGCCACTTATTAGATTCAAATTACCGACCGAAGGGTTATTAGAAAAGGATGATTCCAGATTTGTCAATATTGCTGTCAACTCATCAAGATCAAGCTGAAACGTAAAGGTCAAAGTGATGTGAGAAGTGAGACAAGCTACATGTATTAACAGTACTCCAAAAATCTCTACTTCTCCCAGTTTTGTGACATTGAAGGAAGTCAAATACACTGTTATTTAATTACAACACTCTAGATGAAATGCCATTCTGCCATAAGGATACTGCTCATCCAAACATTGTGTTGTACCAGAAAATGCGAATACACTGTAAAAGGTAGCAAAATCTTCTGTAGGGGAGGAGAGTCTCTGAGTGTCAAATATTAAAAGGGAAGTATGAACCTAACTGGAATTTCAGTATTGAGGGGGGAGAGGGGGGGGGGATTGTATAAGCCAAAAGCTTTCACTAAGGAGGTATGGCAGTATGTTTCTGTTATTTTTCTAGACAGAGTGAAAAGGTATCTCACATTCAATTTGATTCATGTAAACTCTGGTTATAAGTGTGTCTGTGTCCTTGTTCTTGGCCCCCTCCTGTGTACCAGGATTTGATTACATGCCATGATTGGCATGTTGAAAATGCCATTGTTGATTTGCCAATTAAGATGAAAGGAAATTCGAAACGCACTTCTGGTAATTTGCTTAGTCCACTGTTGGCCCAGACCAAGGATATTGGCCCTGTTTTACAGATGTTACTAACTGAGGTCAACTTACATTGATCCACAATAAAGGCTACTTGTTACACAGCTTGCATTTTAACTAACTATGCACCTTTGATAATGCCTCCTGGAGCAGTTCTTCATCTGTTTTCTGGGATTTTGTTGAGGCAGGTTTTTTCTTGCTGCCAATGAAGCTTGTACCGGGTTTCTTCATCTCAGGAGCCTGTTCAGCAACTCTTTCTGTTAAAACTGCTGGCAATTCATCAGGAATATCTGCTGTATGTTTCACATTTCCATTACCAATTTCAGTTACAGGAACTTTAGGGTGCTTCAGAGCCTGATAAATTGTCTTGGATGCTGCTAAGGGATCTAGAAAGAAGATTGGAAAAAAATCATGGTCAGGGCTGTCTCTAAGATTTCAAGTTGCCAGGTATATGAAACAAGTAGGCGGGAAATTGAACGGCTAGGAAGTTCTTGATGTTCTATTTCCTTTGTGCTCATAATAGCCAGGGGAAATCCCCAGTCCTGGCCTTAAGGGACACCCCTGATGGTTGAAATAGATGTTACTGCTTTGTAATTTTTTTTACACACTATTTGCACCATGTCAAGATGGTATGACTCTCCTTGAACAAACTTTTATGTTGCTTAAGAAGTGAGACATATTAAAGCTTTAAAGAAGTGTTTCAGAGTATCTAGGTACATCATATCACATATCATCCTCCACAGTATTGCAGCATTCATGTCCTGGATTTGGGACTTATTATAAAGAATATAAACATTTCAGAACAATGGTAAAAGAGACTATGACCTGATAAGGGGCCTTTCTGGTGTTTTGCTGGCTTCCAAGGGGATAAATGAATCTTTCCCCTCCCCATCCCATTGAAGCAATGTTTTGCCACTGCTTCAGAAACATGTGAGAAACGATAAATACCCCAACTTTTAATGAACAGAGGAAGAGGGAGGTGTGTTGATTGTCTTGTTCTCTGAAATATCCCATTTGAAGACACTGTCTCAACAATTTTGTCACTGATTGTAGGTACTTCATGTTACAGAAGCCAGAATAAGCTATGGCTGAGTGGGTCTGTCACCATGTGAACCCTTTCCTTAAAATAATTCTACCAAAGAGACAATAATTTCATTTATTGTGGCATAATATCCCCACTTGCCATTGGCCGTGTTTATTCTAAGGATGCATTATCAGTCTGGATGAACTTGGGCAAACATTTTATAGTTCATCTGGGTTATGCATCTCTAGTATAAAGACAGGCACAAGATGTACTATGCATCCAGACGAACTACCTTTCGTAATGTGTTGTTCAAGACGTATTTCAAAGGAAAGTTCGTCCAGAACTATTGTTTTATTTGTAAATCATCCAGGAATAAGGTTGGACAGAAATACCATTGTACGACTAATTTTGTCTTCAATCAATATAATTAAGAAAGACAAATTTAGCTCCACATTTTTTCGTATGCAGGGGTAGATAGCTACACAAGTTAAAATTTTACATGATAAAAGCATGCTTTTTCTTTTTACTAATACTTACCATTATTTCTTGTAAACCTGACCTTTGACTTAATATTCTCATCAATGATGTAAAAGTAACTGATGAGGTATACCAAAGATTTTATCTCGAACTTAGGAAATATATAATCGCAATCACATAACACAAAATAAAATACATACTTTTAAGACTGCTTCGAACTCACTCGATCACTTTTACACGATGGGAAACACACTGGACACAGAGAATATCAATGTAAAACTGATAAACTCTGCTAAGTAACTTGTTGTTCATTAAAGATAGTAATTTGTGAGTTTATCACATGATTAACACTTTGTCGAAAAAAAATACTTTCTTCTGAAATTGTTTTATGAGCAGATTTTACTGACATCACAAATTTTGATCTCAGTCCCAAAACAGGTTGACCCAAGTCCAAAGTTGCATACGTGGCGTTACGACACACACTAAGTGAGTTTTTCGAGTATTTCCTCAAAATAATTTACAGTTAGTTAACTTACTGATGATCTCGGCCTTAGGCATATCAGAAGCCTTAACTTTGTTCTTTTTCCCTTCATTAGGAGCCCTTTTCTTGCCACCTTTTCCTACCACTTCCCACTTTCCACTTTGACCATTGGACGCCATTTTGAATTTGTGAAAACGGTACAGGAAGGAATCATGGGAAGGCCTTTCTTGCACGAAATATCGAATTTCCCGCCAAATTCACCCTTGCTTCCCGCCAATCTATCCTTTCGGTTTTATTTTCTTCTTTTCTTGTTTTTATTTAGTGTTAGAAGAAAGAGGAATATATATTATCCTCCATGATAACAGTAATACTGGCTTTGTAAAGTTCTTAAAAAGTTATAGTAGCTCAAACGAGTAAAGAAAAAGGCTTTTCTTGTTATACGTTGTTAACAGGAGCCTAGCCGGTGAATCGGCTCCTCGTTGTTGACTATATTTGAAAAATTCAAAGAAAGGTGGAAATGCAACAGGTTTAATAAGCAAACAAAGGATCTGGGCAATCGGGAGGCTTGGATCGCTATGGATCGTTTTGGTGTGACTGCGCAAAGAGCACTACTGATAAAGCCTTTAGACGTTTTACCCAGGGAGGTGAGCTGAGACCAAGGATCAGCTCACCTTACTTATACTAGTTACACGATATTGTGGAAGGAAAGTGGCTTGCTTTTGTTTGCCTACTTCAGTTTGATTACATTTAAGCTCGGAGAGATACTTAATTAGCAGTAATGATAAATCACAAATTGAAAACTCGGAAATCTTTAAGAACTACAAATCGAGACTTGAGAAGGAAGTCCCTTATTATAAGCACAACAGACATGGTAAACAATGCCTCGAGCGATTTCATTGAAAAAAAACACATAGATTACCAGGAACCCCTAGAAAATTCGGTGTTCATTTGAATAGATACGTTGTTAGTTGTCCAATGGAAAAAACAACAACAAGATCGACATTCTGCCCTGTTTCCCGAGGTTGCCTAATATTTAAGGCCAATATTTACAATATAGTTTCTTTTTGTTTTTACAGTCTGGTGATTTTCATTTTAAACCCTATTTTAAGATAAAACAATGAATAGTGATTTATGTGCGCTCTGATTGGCTAACCAAGAGTAGTCCAGTGCTCCAACAGGAGCTTTCTTTCCATTACACGGATTTTATTTTTGCTCTGCTGAATCTTTGTGTGGTATATTTATATGTATAAACCAAAAAAGATATATTGAAGGTCTGCAAGAAATGAAAATAACCTTAATCAGGCATTCTGCTTTGAACTGGTAGAATGGGCTTTCGAGGCTTAAACCGCAGTGTCGGAAAAATGGTCCAATGTCCAACTCTTCTCCATTCTAAAAGAATTTGGAAACATTCAAAATTATGGAGGAGTTTCAATGGCCACTCATAACGTTTTACGAGACCTTTAGATTTCTTATACTGAAACACATTTACTTTTAGATGTATCGCTCCAAATATACTGAGCGAAACTTTAGTTAATCGCGGGTCAGTCCTGTGGAAAAGTCTACCAAACGTTGAATTTACAGCAAAATTATTATTGACTTCATTTCTTTGCGGTTTCACTTAAAAACAGTAGATTACATTAGAGGTCTTAAATATTTCAGCCGTTCCATTTTACCGAAATAGGTTAGGAAAGTTATTTATGTGAGTTAAATTTTCGTTCTATTACTATAAACATGGCTTTCTCAGTGGAAGATCATCGTAGTGAAATAAATGAAGAGATATCGAGCTTTTAAAGTAAGCTAATGAATGAATGAATGAGTGCAAAATTACAATGGACGCATCTCATTTTAATGCGCACACGAGATAAATATTTCATTGTGTTTAATTGTGGGCAGAAACTGTCAATAATGGAGGAAGTCACAGCTGTAGACCACTGAAGGCGTATGTATTAATCATTCTTTCTTATTAGTGTCAAAAGAGTAAAAAACATAATGAACACAGACTTAGTTTGATATGAATTTCTGAAGTTCTGTCTTATATTATCTCTGCAAATATCATGAAGAATCTCTTTTTCATCGTATTTGTTTTTCCGCGCCTGGCGATGGTTAAATACGCTGCAGAACTTTTCTTTAATTTTGATTGGTTTAGTGAGTAATTGTAATGTGCAATTGGTTGAATTACGTAAGTTTTTCTTAAAAACAGTTTCGATTTAGCATCTCGTGATCATTTCGTAAATTCTCAACACTTCTGCTTTACAAATTAAAGCCAGTGATCACTAATTCAAAATATTCTTCCTGCTTGGGATCATCCCTAAACCAAGCCCTTTCTCATCGAATATCTGAAACACTGATGAAGTGTTGACGTCGAAAGCGGAAATGAAAACAAGAAGTTATCAACGAGCTTGTCTTGGATATCCCCAACTAATATCAGTATGCAAAATCTTCCTTCCTTCTAATAGACCCCAAAACAGATCAGCCGAAAATATGCTAATGAGTCATTTCAAATACACTTTTAAATCTGTACATCACTATCATCCGCTCGATGCATTGACAAGCTTTCGAATAACAAATGATTGCTTGAAATTAAATATTAAAATAAGAGCGCGCGAGAAATGGTGTAGGATGGGCCCAAAGATTGTTTTTTCTTTTTTTGTTTTTTAATTTGTCTTTTTTTGTTGCTTTTTGCTACTCCTGTCGCGTGACTCACTTTCAATTCACTGTTATTTTGTCTACAAAGCGTACTGTTCGAAAACTGGCAAATAGCAGTAGAGAAAGTTGATCGTTTCCAAGAAGTGATATATATATTTGTAATGAATAAAACGTCTAAGTCTTTCGGTCCTACTGCGAAATGAACTTTCTGAAGAGAACATTGAAAACTACGCCGGAGGCGAAAGCTGAAACCCCGACAGTGTACTCAGATTAATTGTTTTACAACACAAATGTTCAACTCAGAATTTTGAATATTTAAGATACATGATCAGACGACTCTTCTATAGTTTTTGAATTACACTTTATCGCAAACATCACATTTTCTTGTTTGCAGATTGACTCAGCCAAAATACCTTTCGCAAACAAGTGCTACATCGATGTTTACTTTGCAACTTTTAAATTTCACTTCAAGTGCTAAATTCAAACACAGAGCATTATGGTGAAAATGGGATGTTTTGAGTTATAAACTAGCCTAAATTGCATATTCTATGCTTCGTAAATGGCTTCAGAGAACGGACAGCAAGTATTTAGCATATAAGTTTCCGGATCTCATCCGGTAAGGCACTCGCCTGATAGTCTCGATTTATTTTCTTCGTTTTTATGCTCCGTGCCAGTTTGATGATTTCAAAGGGCGAATTCAGCCGAAACAAAAATATTCCGTGATTTGGAAGTTTGCGTGTCCTTCTTTGAACTAACCTATCGTGACGTCTGCAAGAGTATAATTGCCCTCTTCTCGGACCGGTCTATTCGACAACCACACTTAAGGTGAAATTTCGCGGTGTACTTCAATAGATTTTGAAAAGCCAGCAGCGCCTCTTGGTGCATTTTAAAATACTGTCTCATTAGCTGTCATTTAGCTCGTCCCATCAACAAAGGCCGCAACAACATCCTTCACTCAATTATCCCAATTTATGCGCGATTCCTGTCAATATTGTTCGATTTCGGGACATCTGCTGTCTTGCGCTGGGATTGGGTGTTCTATAGCAAAGCCCTTCTAATGCAACAAACTTCGTCCAATGAGAACTCAGACGGTCACAGGCAATTTACTTCCATGGGCCACCAAACGAACCCATCCCTTTCAATATTCAAGCGGTGAATGTTCTGGCTCTGCGCGGATCAACTTCGGGCGTATTCCTTTGAACAATGTCGTTCGAAAGGTCTTCGTTCCGGCGCAATTTCCAGGGATGGGTTGAACTAAACTATGGCGAAAACAGCCGGACAAAGACAATTACGCGAAAAAAGTTTAACAAAATATGCAGATATTTACTTGGAGAGCCCCAGATCGAAACCGATGCAAAATTTCGGTTCTGGGTCAAGTCGAAAGGATTCCGCATTGCTCACACGGAAGACAGCCAAAGCTATGGCGTTTTGTACGTTCCAGTAAAAGTTCCTCACACGAGAGTAAGTCACCTTGTTCTACAAAGGTTTTGTACTCAATATATTTGACTTAGTACGCTTTTGTTTGCTTTCGATTCTGACTGTGTTCTGTGGGATGTCTTGTGCATTTAGAGCGTGGATATGTTGTACCCATACGAAGACAAGATCGGACAATCAACTCGCTCACAGGTTGTCGAATATCGCAGGGTGGCTGTTGCGGACGATTTTTTCGATATCATAAGCAGCGTGCACATTAATGAAAGGGGAGTTCATGTTGGACAGAAAAAGACTTACAAAGCGGTGAGTTGATCAGTGTTCAAGTGTACCTATACGTAACTGAGTACATCGAGCAAGGCAAAAATGCTGTTTACGAAAACCATGCAACTAATGTTCCTAAAACCTGATTCACTTCCAGCAGTGTTGAGGCATGGCGCTCAGTTGAATACGTTCCTCAGCTAGCCCAGCCTAAGGTTGACAGTGTAACTGTTATCGGTTTGGTGGGTACATTCATTTCTGTCCGAAAGCATGCGAGGGACGAGTGTCGACTAAAAATTGTTTTTCATGGCCTTTTAATTATGCGGATCAAACGAATCGATCAGAGCGGCTAAACCTGCTCGCTGACGTTCAAGATCAGCTATCGAACATAACAATTTCGAGCCTTATTTTACCAAAAAAAAAAATTCAAACCAATCCTTTCAAAGGTGATATGAATTTTTCAGTCGGAAGCACTTGCTATAATCTTTTTAATCGAATGGGTATATTGGCTAACCCCTTGAGCAGCAGAGAAGTCCCAATAATGAATGAACCTCGAGATATCCCAACAAAATCTTCTAGATCTGTAAGAACTTTTTTTAGAACGCGTCATCATCGGCGCACTGAATTCTTCCCTAGTTTGGCGACGCAAATTCCTGGCATTGAAATTTCTTGGCAGTGAAATTTCTCGCCTTTCATTTGTATAAAGAGACAAGGTTCGCGTGACTACCAGAGTAACTCGCTTAGGCCGTTTTCCATATTCAAATTAGTAAATTATTTTCATGCTAGAGCGAACAGAAGGCTACTGTATTGATTGTAAAACAATTATCTTAGGCTTTATTTA